TTTTTTCATTATATAGATTACTTTTTAAATTTATCTGCTTTGTTATGGTACTATCATAGAGTGTAGGTAAAGAAAATGAAGTATTACTGCTTGTCATATTATTAACACACACTGTCCCTAAAGAACCTGGCAGTGAGCGCTGATATTCATTTTGATATTTTAATAAGGAGTCAAAACGTTCCTCGTTATATTTGCAGGACTTTACCAGATTATCCATGGCCATTGGAAGAAGTTTTCAAGCTTCTGGATTGGAAAGGATATGATATTAACGTTAATGGCGTGTACATCCCTCACCTTCGATTTGCCGGCGATATAGTCCTTAGATATAAACCCGAGCACTATGCTCAATGACCTCAATAGCGTCTCCCAATGGATACGTCTTAAGATGAACATGGACAAAACAAAAATCATGTTTAACGTCCATGTCACACCTATGCCGATAGTTGTTGTGAGCACTAAGCTCGAAGTTGTTGACGAATATGTTTACCTGGGACAAATATTCCGACTAGGTAAGTCCAACTTCGACAGAGAGGACAATCGACGGATTCAACTCGGCTGGGCAGCGTTTGGGAGATTACGACATATCTTCCCGTTAGACCATACCTCAGAACCTCAAAACTAGATTGTTCAACCAGTGCGTTTTGCCAGTGATGACCTTCGGATCCGAGACGTGGTCTTTCATTGCTGGCCGTATGAGGAAGCTCAAAGTCGCTCAGCGAGCTATGGAAAGGGCAACGCTCGGCGTTTCTCTGCGTGATAGACTTAAAAACGAAGATATCCGATATAGAACCAGAGTAACCGACATAGCACAAAGAATTAGTGTGCTGAAGTGGCAAGGGCCCGGCCATATTATAGCCATAGCTCGAAGAACCGACAACCGATGGGGTAGAAAGGTTCTCGAGTGGCAGTCTCGTACCGGCAGGCGAATTGTAGGGCGTCCCCCCACTAGATGGAGTGACGACCTGGTAGAACATGCAGGAAGTCGATGGATGCAAGTGGCTTGGGACCGTGCTTTGTGGCATTCCTTGGGGCAGGCCTATGTTCAGCAATGGACTTGTGAAGGGCTGTAATGATAATGATGATGAATAACTTATAACCAATATATAATTATTTAATTCAATGCGAGCGTTTTTGTTCATTTTGTGAAAAATCTTCACTCTTAATTTGGGCCCCCTAATAAATTTGGATACATGGCCCGGCTAAGGCACGCTACGCCACTGCCTGTGAGGTAATCTATGGGGGAGGCCTATATTCAACAGAGGACCTTTGATAGGCTAATAACTAATGACTGAATTAATTATAATATATTAAGGGAGCAGGGAGGAGAACGGGTAATACATTCATAATCAATTTATTGGTATTTTGGTGGAGCGGCGGAGGCGACCGTATTGTACCGCGGTATTTATGGTATCTCTTTGTCTGATTTCCGCGAAGCAATCCTGGTGACGATTAGACAAACATAATAAGTGGATTCTTATACGCCCCCACTACACGACTTAACAATTTTTACGCTTGTTATTCTGAACTATTCTTATTGATCACGCACTTAGTTGCCCCGACAAAGGTCGACTGGACAAGGGCCCATGAGTGATCCCCTCGACGAGCAACAGATGGCGGGGCCCAATGGATAATTCTAAATTAATGGCAAATAAGCAAGCACAACTTACCGAGTTCCGGAAATAGGGTTGACCACAGGGTACCGTCAGGGGCAAGTGGTGTGTATGTAAGTAGTGTGTAGTAGTGTGTACATGTAACCTGACTTAACCGATGTAGTCGGACCGCAGATCCACAGGTGCTGCTTTTCTCCAAATGTGCGATCCCTCCAAGGGGCGTTCACCAATTGAAACCTTCTGCTTTTATTTCACTATATTAGTTTATCAACTTTATTGTACATTTAATTAACTTCAAAGTCAACCAAATCAACGTTCATCGAAATTAAAACAAGTGACACACGACACAAGTAAAGAACAGTCGGTCAAAGTTCATTGTTCCATGTTCACTTAGCAACAAATTATAAACGAGCACACGCGATCTCCTCTTTCCTCTTACGATATTAAAATGCCACACAAGCCACTCGTCGACTCAAATTAATGTTAATCAAAGTTAAGTTAATAATTCAAACTCAATACAAGCCTCTTGTCGCGAAACGTACAAATTAGACAAATCAATTCGAGGCGGTCTACACGAGATCCCAAATCTTCGATAGTCAATTAGACGCGCATAATTTACTCAAATTTTAGATCGTCAAAATCTACACCGGCCGCGCGTAACCAACCCAGCGGTCGCAAACAATACTCAAAATGGTTACAAAAATAATTATATGAGATCAGTCTCGTTGTCACGCAAAATGCACGAGATTAGACAACTTCAAATTTAACTATTCAGAGGAGGCTCCGCGCGCAGTACTAGTCGACAATCACCTGGCCCACGCGTCGACTTGCCCGGCGGATTCCGCCTTTGACTGGGCACGGCTCGGTTGGCAACCCGTAAGTCGTCAACGGTGCCCGCTGTGTTCTCAATTTGTAGGCACTGCTCCTCCAAGAACCGCAGCAGATCACTTAAGGGCGGAATATAGGAGGCGCCGTCCCCGCCGTACCTCTCCTCAAAATGTATCCGAATGTCGAGAGGCAGTCGGGACAGCACGATGTGGAGCAACAAGAAGGACCATTCATCCACCGGTAAATCCAGACGCCTCAACGCATTACAGGCCACCAAGACTGGATTCACGATGTCCGGGCGTAGTCTGGCCCGGTCCCTAAGCAGCGGGCGGCTTAGAAGTTGCCTAACGTATTCGTCCGCGATTCGCCGGACGTTGGCGTATCTTCCGGCGAGGAGGTCCCGGGCAGTCTGGTAGGCGTCGTCCGACAATCTCAAATGGCCGACGACGCCCAGGGCCTCCCCCTCCAGTGAGGCTAGGAGGTACGCCATCTTCTGGCTTGGTGTCAAGTCCCTCCGGGCGTCCACTAGACCATCAAAAAGGCCAACAAAAGTCATCCAGTCGGAGAGGACCCCGGAGAACCTTGGCAGGTCCAGAGTTGGGAGTCGTCCCAACAGCTCCGAGTCCGCTCAGCCGAGCTTCACGCACTTCATTAGCATACTTGGCCCCCGCCTCGATCAAGTCGTCCATGAGCGAAAAGAATTTCTCGTAGTCCGCGAGGCAGGAGTCTAGGACTTCCTGTTCCGCTTCCGAGGCCAAAAGTTCTGTGAAAGCCTCCTCCACTACGACCCTTCGGGCATCGACCTGCTCGAGCCGCTTCCCTAAACTATGGACCTGATCGGGTCGCCCTACCAAATTATGGGCGTTCGCGGCCCAGCGCAGCTCCGCCTGCAGGCGAAGCACCGGTGGCTTGTACGATGGCATCACTACTAAACACGAATTACTATCAAATTAAATTCAATACAAATTACACAAATACAAATTACTATTTATTAAATTAAATACAAATTACACTACAAATACAAGTACACACTACAGTCGGTCAGCAAAGATGCCTCGCTCTGGCGACCGACCCTTCGGCAATTTTAATCTGCTATAATTATACGATAACGATAATTATACGATTATGTAATAACGCGTGATTGTAGAAACAATCAACCACGCTCTGCTACCAGAAATGTTCACGCCCTTAGTTGCCCCGACAAAAGTCGACTGTATTAGGGCCCATGAGTAACACCTTCGACGGGCAACAGAGGGCGGGGCCCGATGGCCTATGGATAATTATTCTAAAACGGCTGACAAACAACAAAACTTACCGATTTCCGGAGGTAGGGTTGACCACAGGGTACCAGTCAGGTGATAAGTGAGGTGTATGTAAGTAGTGTGTAGTAGTGTTTAAATGTAACCTGACTTAACCGATGTAGTCGAACAGCAAATCCACAGGCGCTGCTATTCTCCAAATGTGCGACCCCTCAAGTGGGCGTTCGCCAATTGAAACTTCTGCTATTATTTCACTATATTAGTTTATCATATTTTTTGTATTATGTTTATCATATTCTTTATTGTACATTTAATTAACTTCAAATTTAACTAAATCCACATTAATCGAAATCAAACAAGTGACATACGGCACAGCTAAAGAACGGTCGATCAAAGTTCAACGTTCCATGTCCACTTAGCAACAAATTATAATCGAGCACACGCGATCTCCTCTCGAGTCACAAAGGGTTAGCGTTCTCCCGACAAAGCAAATTTCATATTACGATATTAAAATGACACACAAACAACTCGTCGCAAATTAATGGCAATCAGTTACTTTAATCACTCAAAACTCAAATTAGACTTCTTGTACCGTAACGCTCAAAACAGACACTCAATTCGAGGCGGTCTTAACCGGACCCAAATATTCGATAGTAAATTCAAAACGACGCGCACAAAATTCTTGACACCAGCCGCGCCCAACCTATTAACGGTCGCAAACAAAACTAGTCGACAAGGTGGGCGAGGTGATGAGTGTCTTGAACGCCGCGGTTCGACTCGAGCGACTGATTCTTCTAGACCGGGCAGGGCGTGGCCCCGCGTGCAAAACGAGCGCCGGCCGGCTCAAGCCGTCAAACCGGTTTTGAATACAAGTTTTAATGTGTTTAAGATTAGGCCTAAACACTTGTCATTAATAATATTTTCTAAGGACAAAATACTGATATTAAAATACGCTCACCGCGAACATATGTAACAATCCACAATGTTCTTAGGACTCGTATAGGTGTCACCTTTACGTGCCTTGTGTCATTAGGTCTGCCTTTTTATACATGGTAAGTAAATAAAGCTTAAATAAATAAATAAAATAAATAGACGATAATTGGCGTTTGTTGACTGATATAGATAGATAGATAGACAGATAATATCACTGGTGTGAAATTGACTAGTAGGACACAGATTAGGAATAAAAAATACTTAAGGTCGTAAAAAATAGTAAAAGAAAGTAATACTCACATTCATGGTATAATTTAATAACTTAAAACATTTACATTATTACATTTACATAGAATAGAAGTTATATGAATTATTGATTTAAAATGTTCTTAAAATATAACACCGTTTGTGTAAAGCCGCGTAGAGGCGACGGTACGCCGATATGCAAGAGTTGCAGCTGACCCGCTTCTGCGATAAAGTTTGCTTTCTTCAGCTCGCTGATTGCCCAGCTTATTGTGTAGTCTTTAGGCTCCATGCCAGACGAGTCTTTGTTCATAATATAGTTAATAACAGGGGAGTACAAGGGAGTTGGCACCAGTGGTATAAATAATTCGTTATCAAGCAGCTCTTTGACCAATTCGTCCTCAACTTCTTGGCTTTGTAGAGAATCCTGTAAATCGTTCAGTAATGAGTCATAATTTATTTATGAAAATGAATCATTATTTTTATTTTTCTTGCAAAAAACAGTCGCGATGATAATGAATATTAAATAGTAAACTTATAAACGCGCACATTTGCTTTTCTTAATGATGATAATTTAAAATTAAAAATTTTGTACAACCGACTTCAATATAAATTATTAAGAATAACTAAAAAATTATTGGTCAGACCTTAATCAAATTTATTCATAATATATAAAATGGGACCTCATGTGGAAGCACCAGCTTTCAAATAAAATAAGAATCATCGAAATCGGTTCACCCAGTAAAAAGTTATGAGGTAACACAGATAAAAAAAAATACAGTCGTATTGAGTACCGGCTCCTTTTTGAAGTCGGTAGAAAATGATCTCAAAAACGGTCTGAGAACTCAAGTGCCATGTGGAATAGATCTAACATCAACTAGTCCCTCTTTCAATAACTAAGCTGGTCGGAGCCCAGACAGACATCCCTCAACACTAGACTTTTCAATCCTCTTCAGGATGTAGTGTTTCTAATAAAACGCCAAATTAGGTACTTGTGGAAATACTGGAGGTCTGGAGTACTGGAGTCTGGAACTGGAGGTCTAACAGAAGGCACAGCTTGCAGGTGACGTTGGCACTTGAAGAAAATGTAGGTATACTCTCTTACACCCCGGTAATATCGCATATCGCATAGTATGAAAAATTATCTCAGAAATGGGGACTCAAGTCCTTTCTTGGATAGATCTAATATAGCTTTTGACGGTTCGACCCCACAACAAGAGAGTTACCACCAACTATTCTCCTTCGCAATAACTAAGCTGGTCGAAGCCCAGACAGAAATTCTTCAACAGGTTGAGTCAATTCATGTTAATGCTAAGGCTTCAACATGGGCCCTTGACGGTTCCGTAGTACCTCGATCCAGTTCCTTCTAAAATGTTAAGATATAACGTTTCAGCTTACGAGGACGGATTCCTACCCCATACCACATTATACCTTTCATTGGAATTTTCGAATTTAAAAGTTTGAAGATATATAATATGTGAATTTGTTTTATATATAGTGACGTAAAATTACAAATATCGTTAATTTAAGCCGGCAGTAAGTTCGCAATATGGCAGGTTTGAAAGATGACCTTATCACGAAAATTGATAAGGGCGTGCTTCGGTGGTTTGGGCACGTTCAGCGAATGAGTGAAGACCGAATGGTGAAGAAAATATATAGCGCGAAAGTTAATATTAAAAGGTGTCGAGGTAGACCGAGACTAACTTTCGAAGACCATGTGAGCAAATTGCTCGAAGAGGGTAGGGTCAAGAGTACTCGGATACCTAGACGTGCATGTATGAAGAAGATAATGAATCTGAAAGAAGCGAAAGAGGTTTGTAAGGATCGTGACACTTGGCGATCTGTTCTCTCTGGCTACCCCGTCAGGGATTGTGCGTGAAGATAAGTAAGTAAGTAAGTGCAGCGGATGTGCAACTAATATCTGATAAATCGACAGACAAAAAACCTAAAAACCCCAAAAAGGAGACATAATGGAACTGAAGAATCCAGTAAAGCAAAAGGCAAAGCCCAAAGTGAAACCGCTGGCTAAAATGAAGGGCCCTAAAGAAGAAAGAGGTGAATAGTGTAAAAACTGAGACAATGTGTAAAAAGTGGAAGTGACAGTGTTGACGTAAACTGACAGGCAAACTCCACCAATGATAACCAATTAAATTTCTACGGACATCAAAGCCATAAACTACGTAGCAGCGGCGAAAGCCAGCAAATCAAAAAGTTCACAACCCTGTCAGCGATAAAACAGCACAGTCAGCCACTGAAAAGCCCAAGCCTATAGAGGAGGTCGAAAAGAAGGAGAAAGTGGCGGTAAAAAAAAAACAAAATAGAAAAAACATCTCTGGATCTAAGTATATTTGATCTTCGGGAGAGTGGATGACCGTTTTTGAGGTGGTTGTTCATACTGTGCATCGTTTGTAAATTCGGTTTTCCGAATTTAAGTTAAAGTTGATTTTCTCTTTTTTTTTAAACCGAAATAGAATGATAAAAATAAAAATAAATAAATAATAATGGCCTCCAGAACGAAATCACATTTTGGACCACGAATAAGAAAAAAGTATTTAAAATTATTAAAAAGAAAAACAACAATTGATATTCGAACTACCTTGTGCCGTAGCACCAGCTCCAAGACAAGATCTTTGGAATGTTCACATTTGTTAAGCAGCACCACCCACACAGCACTCAGTACTGACTGTGGAGGTGTGCTCTCACACAGCCATTTAACCTCCTGGAATGAAATAATAATTTAAGCCTATAAAATAATATCACAAAATACTCAGTTCTCATTATGCACATAGAGTTAACATATAGTAGTAACACATATAATAGTATTATTTAGAGAGTTAAGTTGGTTGCAGGTGGACTGTAAATTCGTTTATCACTTACATTTATAAAAAAAAAAACTATTGGTAAATCCAATTGCGCATGCCCTAAGCGCATTAAAAAAATTACGTATAACATGATTATAGGTATTTTTTAAAGTAGTTTAAATACACACAAGTTTTACTAATAACCTTATTATTATACTTCCAATTTTCCAATAATTTTATGTCAAACTTCAATTTAAAAAAAAGTTTGGATAATCTAAAAGTGCATGGACTTGACTTGATGGTCATCATATCATCATTCAGGTCACTCCATAAATTCTAATACGTATTTAAGTATAAATATACTTAAATATATACCTCCTACTTACTTTTAATACGTATTTCTATAATTTATTCTGTGCTTTTAAAATATTGTAATAAAAATCTGTGATTATTATAATAATCAAGTATGTAACAAATTTGGTTTTTGGAATATTTTGTATTTGTACAGCGATCTTTTTGAGCCGTTGCAAACAACCGTTACAGTATCCACTCACGATGGCGGTTGAAGCCAAAGTGAGTGAGTGAGGCAGTCTATTTAGTAAAATAAATTATTACAAGGCTGTTTAAAACCGAAAATTTCGGGATTTCTATGCCGAAAAAATGTATTATAGCTAAACAAAAGAAAATTAAACTGCCATTTTCATTCCACGGCTTCCCACATGATAAATGAAGAGATAAAAAAATAGATTGAGTTAAACAATTGATATTTTCATAAGTTACCGTGTTTACCACTCCATGCGGACTTGATAAATCTATACCATAAGCCACTAAAACCACTTTTTTATATAAAAATAACAATTAATCGATTTAAAAAAATATTAATAAGTTCAACAATCATTTATCTTTCTGACAACGTGCTTTTCATATAATTTATATGTTCAATATGATTGTTAGATACGATTTTATGCGACAAAACATTGAAATCTTGATTTTTAGGCGCTAGTAGAACGTACCTACGCGCTTTGCGCTTAAGGAATGCAATAAAGAAAAAAGACCAGATTCAACTATTCAAATAAATACTAAAGATTTGTTTGTGTATAACTGCAGCACAATAAGTACCGTACACTGTAATGTAATAATACAGTGTAAGTAGTCACAGTACAATGTGATACAGGGCAATCTAGTACAGTGCAATATTATAGTGTAGTGTCGACGTTGTACAGTACAGTTCGATGCAGTGCACTGCATTGTATTACGTGACCAACAAATTGTAGTACAGTATAGAGAAGTAAAGTGTGCAAAAAAAGAAAAAGGATCGTGCCTAGGATTCAACCTTGAAGGTACGTCGTCCGTCATTATCGTTGAAATAATATCGCAAATGATAGCTGAAAGTATTCTTGATGATAAAAAAAATATGTTAATTATTTTGTTCGACTATTGAATGAAAAAGCAATTTTCCGTATTACAAAACCACAATTTTAGTTAAACTTTTTGCGATGGAAGCAATCGTCACTCAGCCTGCCAAGAGTGGCGATCTCAGCAAATCCTATTCACCGTGTTAGAGTCCCATGTCCAACAGTGGACTGATTATAGCCTGGTGCATACTCATAATTTCGCGGGTTCGAATCCCGCACAGAACAAGTAATTGTATGGCCTGCAAATAATTGTTCCGGGTCTGGATGTTTGACCTTGTGGGATTTATGTTTGTAAACTGCCTCCACGATACAAGAGAAAATCCTAGTGTGGGGGTAACGTTTAAAAAAAATTATAATAATACAACATAATATAAATTGGACGCTACTACTGCTCGACGCACGCAACGGGGCTAAAATTTACGCTGGAATAATTGCAAAGAGGGCTTCAAGCTTATCAATCTTGTAGAAATAAGCCCCTTGTTCTCGTAATTTGTTTACAGCTAAAAATAGAGCAGCTAGAAATAGAATAGTATACATAGCTAGAAATAGCTCTCTTCATGCTGCAGCCATGCATGCAAACTTGAAAGTTTTGGCCACACCTTCTGCGAAGTGGTAAGCATAGAGCCCGACAGCCTTGCACTAGTAATGCTATCATCATCAGTACATTGGTGACGGGGAGCAGCATTACGCGGGTTAGGGTAGATATAATTGCAATTAATTAGGATTACCTCTTCATCTAACACTGGTTGTCTTAGAAGTAATTTTATTAGCACCAGAGCTTCGTTTTGGTCAGAGGTCGTCGTCAATAGTGAGTGTAAATATTCACAGTGCAAGCTTCTGATGTCCCTATAACAAAATATTTTTATGTTGACAGTTAATTTGGTTTTATTTTTATATCAAATAGCATAATAAACTTTATATTATTGTAGATTACTTACTGTGTTTTGGTGGGAGGCCAGCAATTGAGTACATCTACCAATGACTTCTTCTTCTGCCATGTGTCGGACAGCTCCATAAACTTGCCAAATACCTCGCGTCGACCCTCTTCAGTAAGTAACGTCTCATCTATAAAAGAACTTATACATTTAAACAAAAACACATTTTATAAAAAATTTGTAATTTTGACAATGATTTCTTATATTTACGCGAACACTACACATTAAATGAAACTAATTTTACGGATTTTATCGCGTTTACTTTAACTTTTCATTTCCCGACGTTTCACGTGGTCACGGGGGCATTTTTTTTTATAGGATAAGGGTGACAAACGAGCACACAGTCTACCTGATGGTAAGTGGTTGCTTTGGCCCATTTATACTCGATGACGAATCAAAATGCAGATGCGTTATCACCCTAACCACTAAGATGTCCAGTAAAACGGGTCTCCGGTTCTCTACACTCACCATATGAAATACAACAGCGTTAAGCTGCTATTTTACGCTGGTATTCTGTGAGAGCATGGTCCTTCCCCGGTTGAGCCGACCCATTCGTGCTACAGCTATACCATTAATATAGCTGCAGCATGGTTCTACCACGTAAAAAACCGAGGTGTTGACGTCACGATGTTATAGTTAGCCCGGATTTTCCTTCCTTCAGTTTTTGAATATAAATTGTTACGGCCTACGGCTGCTCCCATAAAGCTCAAATCCTCTGGGGCCCATTCAGCAGAGTTTCAACGAACAGACGTAGGTCGGGCCTCCTAAGGCCAAAGTGGAAAATCTCTAGTTACACTAAACAATAAGGAGGAGCGTTCTATACTACGGCCATTCAACAGGGAGAATATTAGACGGAGCTTACTTATCTATATCCAAGGCGACTGCTCCCTCAGGATTCGGTCAGGTCGTATTTGGTTGTGTGGTGCTAGGGAAATAAGGTGCTGTGATGTGTATCTGGGTGTGACTGATGGTGATTGACCTTAGTAGACGTTTGCCGTCGGCAGCAGCCCGGGCGTCAGCACCGCTCCAAATTGAGGTAATCTTCCGCGGCGCCTTCCACAGTCATTTTCTTCGTTCGTCACGATGATAGTCCATTAACTCTATCGTACTATTAACTAACTTACAGAAGCCACTAACTCTCGTTTGTTATAAAGCTTAACACACAAACGAACAGGGAGTGTCCGGCTCAAAGGTCACTACCGCTTCGCGTAGCAACAATTATTTCTAGAATTTCAAAGGCCGCTTTAGCTAATATTGTCGAATGCATTTATACAAGACTGAGTCAGACACAATGAGTTCCTGGGAAGCTCTCCAGCAAGGAATGCGCGTCACAAATCCTAGACAGTATATTTACTAGCCGCGCCTAATTATTCCGAGTCCCCGAACAAAAATTGACAGCGTGCTGGCGTTAGCACAGCTGGCAGACGACTGCTGCGCTTGCGCGTTCTACGCACGACCGAACGTCAAACCGATATGGCACCGAGCCGCGCGCCCTCTGACGTCGATTCCGAAAACAGCGTTTGGCGCGAACATAAATTTTTGGTCCTATCTCCGCAGAATGAGCTTTCAGTATTTTAAAGTCTTGCAGTGTTATGCTTGGGTTTGAATTTAATTTAATTAATTAATGGATCTCAAACAGATGCTAGCACCCATCCATCTTCTCTATTGAAATTAGGATGTATTTATTGTAATTTCAATAGCCTCGCGAATCCCCTTGGTAGGAATGGGTGTTCTTTTGTGAGGATTTGTGCTCTATCAAATCTAATGTAGTGTCGGGGTTGATCTTGAATATGTTCACAGACTTCGTAGTTCCCGGAACGTCGATGCTTCACGTCAGTTATGTTTTTTCACGCGGGATTTATTTAATTTTTCGTCCGAAACGTCGGGAATAAAAAGTTAAATTAAACGTGATAAAATCCGTAACATTACTTTCATTTAATTACAAAACATATTTTTGTGGCAACTATTGAAAAACTCGATAAGTCCTAATTTAAAAAAAAATGTTGCTATATTATTATAAAATCTACAATAGTATTTTAGTACGATATAGTTAAATAAATAAGCCATACGATTTTCAAAAGTGATAATATAAAAAAATAGCGAATTTTCGTTTTATTACGGGATACAAATAGTAGTACCTATATAAATATAGCAGCGCAGTAGCGCAGTGTTATGTAAAGTATAGGAGGGTGCAGTGTAGTGTTAAGTAGAGTAGAGTGTAGTGCAGTGTTAAGTAGAGTGGAGTACAGTGTAGTGTTAAGTATAGTAGAGTGTAGTGTAGTACGGTAGAGTGAAGTGTAGTACAGAGTAGTGCAGTGTAGTACAGACTGCAGTTTGATGCCTGTGACCTGTGAGGTGCTGCGCTTCTGGCGAGTCGGGCCATTCTGCGCGTAGCAGCGCGGCGGCGGGCGCTGCGGCGGCGGCGGGGCTGCCGGCGGCGGCGCGCGGGCGCGGCGCGGCCGCCAGCAGCGCGAGCTGGCGCGCGGCGGCCAGCCCCAGCGCCTTGCCGCGCTCCAGCGCCGCCTCCACCAACTCTGCGGGGAACTGCACGCCCTCCCGGTGGTACTGCGACACGCGCGTCGCCAAACACTGCATGTCGCTGCCAACGGTCAACGTACTAATGACATTTCGCCTCGCATCGCGTAATTACCATTATGCAATATATTACTAAAAAACAGCAGCGAGGCCAGCAATTATGTACAAGTCATATAGTACATGTACTGTGCAGATTCGGGCACTGAACTAGCGTGTGTTACAGTGTGAAGGTGTTGAGAGAGCACGTACTCGGGCGTGTGCGTATGGTGCAGCAGGTGCTGGAAGACGCGGTGTGTGGAGATGTCGAGGTGCAGGCAGTGTAGCAGCGAGGCCAGCGCACCGCTGCGCAGCCCCGCGGCCACCAGCTGCCCTACGGCGACCAGCGCCGGCTCCAAAGTGCCGTGACTCATTTCCAACGACCTGGGCACCAACCGTTCTTTTTTGGGATTTGTTATTCTTATTTAATATCATTATGCTTATGCAGGTGTAAGAATAGAATAGACTAAACTAGAATAGAATAAACTAGACTAGAATTTGACGGCTCCGTGGCGCAGTGGCTTAGCAATCAGTTGTTGCGCTGGGGGCCGCGGGTTCGAATCCCGCACGGAACAAGTATTTGTATGGCCTACAAATAATTGTTCCGGATCTCGATGTTTGTCCTTGTGCAATTTATGTTTGTAAACTGCCTCCACGACACAGGAGAAAATCAGGTTTAAAAAAAAAGAAATAGAGTAGACTAGACTAGACTACAATAGAATAGACTATACTTAAATAAAATAAGCAAGAATAAAATAGACTAAAATAAACTAAACTAGACTATAATAGACTAGACTAGTATAGACTAGGCTAGACTATAATAAACTTTAAGCATGCTGATTTAAACACCAGCATGCTTAAAACGAAGTATAACTTCGCCTCCAAGTCCTTCAAAAGAAAGAGTTATTGCCAAGGCAAAGTATGAGCACATTGGCAGAATTGGCGAGAAATTAGTTCGCCTTCCTGCATGCTGCATGCTCTGATTACACAAGTTTGCGCATTTATCGCTAAAAATAACCCATTTATCGTATCTTCTCAGTTTCAAGGCACTCCCCTTGTTGCCTCAGCCAATATCGGAATCCTCGGCGTCGCATATCAAGTGATGTGCAGTTTCGTGGTCACTTGGAAGAAAAGGCCAAGTTGGCCTCTAAAGAGCTTGGCGTGCTCAGCAGAGCGGGACAGTGTTTCATGGCGGCACACTACCTGCAACTTTACACGGCGCAATTTCGGCCTCACATGGAATACTGTTCCCACCTTCGAAGGCCGTCAACCCCAAAACTAGCGGTCTGCAGATCGATAAGCTGAGGAAAGTGGGAAACGCAGGGGTCGTGGTCCAGACCACGTCCCAAGAGTAGGCTGAGAAGCTGAAAACTGCAGCCCCTTAATCTTTGAGGGTATCTGAGCTCAGGCAGCGCCTTCCTCTGATTGCCCTCAGGGGCTTTGAAGAGGATCCCAAAAATGATGAGGTGATAAGCGGCCTACACGAGCAGAATCATGCAGCTTGTGGCTGAAGCGAGGGTAAAGTTAAAGAGAACTGCAAAGTAGCGTTTAAGAAATCTTGGAGAGGAAGCAGGCGGACTACAGTCATCCTTCAGTGCTCGGCCACCTTAAGGGACGTGCTGGTAGGGCATAATCATCTCTACGTAGGCTGGGACGTGGTGGAACCCTGCGACAGGTGTTATTAGTATGGGCATCCGGCTAAATACTGCCGATCTAAGGAGACCGTATGTGGCAAATGTGGGGAGACGGGACACGAACGGGGTCTTGAGGGGTCATGGGTCTTGTAAAACCACAGAAGAAAAGTGCACCATATGTAAGCGATTTGGTCGTCCTGACTGATCATCCGTGGGCTGGCGTCTATCTTGCCGACCCAACAATTGAAGCAGCTGTGCTGAGTCACCTCTGCAATATCATCGGACTTAACGCCACTGGGGTGAACTACGGGCTGTTGCGCGAATTTGCGCATGGATGACGCGAACATGGAATGGAGCAGGAGAGAATGTTGGTAAGAGGGCCCGACGACGTGGACGTTATAGTGCCGTCAGCCCCAGAAGGGGGAGAATGACGTAAAATTTGGGACAAGGAATGGATGAAATATTTGTAGGGAGTCAAGACAGTGCCACGTGCAAGTACCGCGCACATCTCCCGAGATTCGGCCCGTATGACCTGAGGGTCTGTGGGGGCCATGGGAGGTGGAGGGTTGTTCCCACCTCTGGGCTGATTCTCCCCAGTGCTAGCTCCTTCCACTTGACCGCATCCAGCGCAGAGCGGCTCGAATCTTCGACGACCGTGTTCTTTCGGCTCGATTCACTAGCGCTGCGAAATGTTGCATCTCTTTGAGTACTTTATCGCATCTACCACGGGGAGTGCTCTGAGGTATTGTTCGGACTAATTCCAGCCGCTCAATTTCATCATCGCACATCGCAACGAAACTCGCGATACCATCCATACCATCTGGCGGTCAGCCATTGTGCGATGTAGAGGTTTTCTTCCTCGCACAACTTCCTTGTGGAATCGATCATCACCACCAGGGATTTTTCCGGACCGATACGACTTAGGGACCTTCAAAGAAAAGAGCCTACTCCCTTTTAAAAGGCCGGCAACGCATCTGCAATCCCCCTGGTGTTGCAGTTGTTAATGGGCGGCGGTAGTCACTTACCATCAGGTGAACCGCATGCTCGTTTGCATATCTTCGTATGAGAATAGTAGTTGGAGAATCTTCAGTCTTGTGAGTGCTGTAAAAGACGGGAGAGGGAAACTAAAACAGCATATTAGACTCCTAACAACAAAGGTTGGAGGAGGGGAGTTAGAGAAAGAAAAAAAAAAGCTCTTTTCAACTTTATGGATATGTTATCAAGTTTAAACTAAAAAAGAACTCACGGCCATATATCATTTTGCGGCAGTTCGCTAGTATTGATGATGTTCTGCACGGTACTGGAGTGGAAGTTGTCCAGGAAGCGAGCCCAGCGAGAAAGCTCCTGGCCCACCTGGCACCACGATTGCTCGCTGCGAATATGACCATTTAAAAATAACAGTAACCTTACTAATAAGAAAAAATACATCGTCACGGACATTGTTTCAGCAGTAAATATAGCGATATTTTAAACTAAGAATAATAGGTAGAAAATTCCAGAAATATCTCATGGATTTTGTTAGATGCCAGTATAACTATCTCGTTTACGTCAGACATAACATACCGCTGCGGCTAGCGGGTTCGATTTCCGCACGGTACAAGTATTTGTGTCAAATCCGAGCCGAGTCTATCTGGTAATATGTAAATTATGTGTATGTAAAATGAATCCACGACAAAAGAGTAAAATTCTAACGTTGACGAAACTGATTTTAAATAAAAAATATTTTTTTCAACTTACATAAGCCGCTCTAGGCGGCAAGTGCGTTATGAAAACGTCGAAAATTTTGTATATAACGCCATTTTTACGTTAAGCCCACGTTACATCACTTACTTCTTATTAAATTTGTAATCGTTTTCTTGCTCTTGTTGGCAGTAGTCCACGGCCTGCAATATCATCAAACTCCTAGTCCCCACCGGCACACTGTCAACAGAACAAGCAGTTAGCGTGACCTTGTCAAGTCGAAACTAAAGTCTAAGTAGAAAATGTAATTATATTTAAATTAGGTTATGATAGTGTCCTTCTGGCAGATTTCAACCACATAATTACAGACGTTATTAACTGCGTAATACAAGAGATTGTATCACAAGCGTGCTCCGTTCATCACAAAGTATTTGAAATTATTAAATGAGATTCGTCCCAATCGAGAACGATACTTGATATCGTCGTAACGATAACCAAATACCAAATGCATACGTTTCGACGTTCCTCAGAAACGTATACTTTAGGTATTTGATAGAATACCATTAACAATAAAGGATCTTTTGAATTATATACGAATTCAAAATGTAAAATGATGGGTCACCATTTTTTTGCCTTTGCTAGACCTTGCTAAATTCCGTATAAATAACATCAGTCTGGTAGGAGTAGGTTAAAAGCAAGTTGAGCATGAGCAGAATCAGCAACACGGTAATGCTAGTGGATCGAGACTTAAATAATTCATGGGTATTTGCAGTTTGTCTTTAAAAATTAGGGTTTATACATTTCAAAAAAGTGAACATATTTTTAGCATTATGTACCTATTCTTTCATTAGGGGTCTGTTTGGGGTAGCCATCCTCTCACATGTTTTGGCCGCGAAGCAGCAGTACACCTACTGCAGTATTTTGATTTAAATAGGGAGCAAAGGAGAATGGGATTTTTGGGCTTGCAGTTAACTAATTGGTTAAATAATTATACTTTAAAAAATTGGCCATAATTTTATACAGTAAAATACAAAAAAGTAGCTAGCTCTTTTATTCAACAATCTAGAATTCAAAAAAACAATAAAATAAGAAATAAGTTAGAAAATCGATTGTAGTGTATTACTTATGGCAATAAATCGATCACCATAAAGGATACACTAGTGAAATCCTCGTTTCTGGACGTTATCTTCCTATAGAGGACTTCTTATTTTGAAACTTGACAGTTCAAACTGAAACTATTTACTTAAAAGAAAAAGACAGATTTTCGATTCGATTTGAAACGAGCGCAATTTAATCGATTCTCGATTAAATTGAGCATTTTGATATCTATTTTCAATTATTTTTCTGTGTTAAGGAGATAAAAAATAATTACGTACATATCTACAAAAATACAAAATATAATAAAAATACAAAATATCAACATTCCAACAAGTACCAGTTCCAACAACCATTCAAGTAATCGATAATATATCGATATATATAATATTCACTTCACATAGTTGTTGTGGTTTTAACTTTCGTTAATCGTTCACCATTTCGTTTCATTATTAACCACAGCTTTTTTTGTGATTTGATACTGATCCTGCTTTTATATCTTTAAGTAATTATAGTGAAAAATAGTCTGTTACAGTGTAATAACAGTGAAAATCAACTGTTATAGTGTAGGTAATAGATTATCTCACTTTACTTATTCTACAATAACTCAGCTCCTAGATTGACAAATATTGCCAGATTTTCAATTGTTTATATATACGCTTTCAAATGGTCCTACTTTCATCTTGTTAACACTTGGGCCCAAGAATGTGTGGATAGTGGAGACGTCTCCTTCTCCTTTGAGTACAGGCTGTGAGACATTTAATCTTAGCTCTTAAAACTGACAACGCAACTGAACGTCTTCTTAGTCGAAAGTTCGTTCATCAGGAGGTGTCTTATCACATTACCCTCTACAGCACCCTCATATAAAGTGGCAATATTGTATTTCAAATAACAATAACATTTAATAATAACAAGGCATCACCGTTGCAGCGCCTCGGCGGAGAAACAAGTGTTAGCGATGAATATGAGCAGGTCGTCTTTGGTCAGCTTGTTGAAGTAGCTCGCGCACTGCCGGTACTGCTGCATCCATTTTTTGTTGCTCGCGTTTGCCGGCACCTAAGTTAAGTTACAGTATATAGACGTCCCACTACTAGATAAATTGCTATTTTCATTTATACGAAGAAAATGCAGGTAGTGAATTCACGCCGCTACAGTGTAAGTGGGCGGACTAGAACGACCTTATTAAGTCTAAAGCTTAAGGAAAGGATACAATTACAATAGGTCATATTAATCGTATTATACACAAATAGGTAAAAATTTTACACGCTGGCCATGTGCGGAAACCGCAGACATTGGATACGTGGAGGAGCCACGTTGCAACGTTAAATGGTTGCAGCAAAATTGAGTCGAATTTTCGGGTCGCACAGATAACCAGCGTGAAATAGCAGCTTAATGCTGTTGTTTTACGTATGGTGCGTACAGAAAACCGGAGACCCCTTTTTACTGATAACGAGACTTTCCATCTTAGTGCTCAGGCCTGAGAACGTATCGTTATTTTGACTCTTAATCGAGGATAAGTGTAGGCATTATTTTATCACCATCGAATAAATTATGTGCAAGTAGCACATAATCTACCCCCTCACCCTCATTTCTTATTCTTCTACTTTCGATAATGTTGTTTCATATCACGAGACTGTGTGATTTTTGAAATTAGTTGGTCAGTCAATCAGTAGAGTGACTTTAGTATTTAGAGATAATTTAAAATCAAAAATTTTGTACCAACAATTGCAATATAAATTATTAAGAATAACTCAAAAACTATTGGTAAGACCTTGAGCAATGGGACTACATGAGAAGCACCAGCTTTCAAATAAAAAAAGAATCATCAAAACCTGTTCACTCAGAAAAAAAGTTATGAGGTAACACACATTAAAACAATAACATACAGTGGAATTGAGTACCTCGTACTTTTTGAAGTCGGTAGAAAAGTAGACAAAATGTTCTCTTAACACGTACTAAAATATAATTAAAGGTAGACCAGCGGGTGGTTGAATGGTTGTCAACAGCGGTACTCACGCTGAAGAAGTGTCGTGTGAGCCACTGCGTGTAGAGCGCGTTCACGGAGAGCGGTATCTTGAGTGCGGGCGGCAGAGTGCGCAAGAACTTGGTGAGCAGACCCACGTTTTCCGGCCGCATGATATCCAGCAGGTGTTCCTGCAGCCGCTCCGGGCTCGCCTGCTCCACCAGCAGCTTGTAGTCCAGCTCTGTGCCAGTGCTTCATTGTAATCGTTGAAGGCTCAGTATAATGTAAACGTGGCTAAGCGGTGCAAATCTCGCTCGGAATAAATATTTGTATACTATTACCGTTTATCTAAAGTTCACTGCTGAACATAATTCGCTCCAATAGATAGCCTAATAGGGGAGATATTTGCCATAATTGCCACGCTCTGCAAACGAACTGGTTTGTCTTTTATCTCCTGGTTCAATCATCTGTCGCCTCTTACGTCCCCTAAATGATATAGTGGATATTCTTACACCGCCACTACACGGTTAATATATTGACCTATTATTATAATAATTGATTGCTTACAATAATTTTCGTAATCTGACTGTGCATTATGAATGAATACATGCAGAAAGTTGATACAGGTGGCTTAGGACCGTGCTTAATGTGCGTGCTATGACGGAGACGTGTTCAGCTGTGGACTTGTGAGGGAGTGTAATGATGATATGATGCGCAGTGGTAGTTACCGGGCGAGGCGGCCCTGGCCTTCTTCAGCAGCTTGACGTGGTCGGCGGCGGGCAGGCCGTGCAGCGGCGCGCGCTCGTCCACGCGCTGCAGCAGCGTCAGCACGCTCAGCAGCGCGCCGTGGTCACTTCCGCTGCACAGAGGCCACAGCGCCTCCTTGATGCTGCACAAACACTTCCTTGTTTTACAAAAATACATTAATCGACGTAAATAAATATAGCTGAAGAGGCAGTGGTAAGAACCGACAACTTATAAGAAAGTTACTCGAGTGACGGCATTAGACTGGTAAGCGAAGTGTAGGGTGGCTCCTAACTAGATGGAGTGACGACCTGGTAAGAAATGCAGGAAGTCGATGTATGCAGGTAGCTTAGGACTGTGTTTTGTGGCATTCCATGGGGGAAGTCTATATTTAGTAGTGGACTTGTGATGGATTGTAATAATGATGAAGATGATGATAATGACTAACATATTAAATGATAAATAGCAGTAAGTAAGGTAAATAGGTAAAGTAAGGTTAATATAGCAAAATGTCCATATAAGTGTCATTATTCTTATAAGAACTGACTAGGCAATATAGAGATAATCATATTAAGAAACATTTGTGAATAAAATAGTACTCATTAGACTAGACCAAACTTGAATATTTTGGCTGAAAGACTCTGTATTTATGACTATGAAATAAATAAATAAAAAGTATAGTATACATAAAAAGTTATTAACCATGGGTGTTACCATTGAGACGCCTGCAACTATGAGTCGGGATGTGTGGGGAGTATATTAGTACACATAAGACTGGACTCAATTATATATTGAACGAAGGACTTTCCTCCGTCAATAAATAAAAAAAACTATATTAGGTATACATAAAAAGTTGGGTACCGTGGGTTTTACCGTTGGTGAGCGTGCGTGTCGGTTAGTGCGAGGGGTGCAGAGAGTGCAATAGAACACATCAGAATATACAGAACTATAATATTTTTGCTGAACAACTGTGTAACCTATGGCTATGTAAAAAACAAAAAAAAACTATAGTATATATAAAAGGTTGTCAACTGTGGATGTTAGCGTTGGTGCACGTACGGCTTCGTGTCGGTGTGTGCGAGGGGTGCTGAGAGTGCAATAGTCTGAAGTATTGTGTACCTATGGTCATATAATAAATAAAAAAATGTATAGTATATGTATATATAAGAAGTGTTACCGTTGGTGTGCGTGCGGCTGCGCGTCGGCGGGTGCGGGCGGCGCGGGCAGCGCGGCGAGCGCGCGGCGGGCGGGCGGCGCGTGCGCGGCGTGCGCCAGCCACACGTCCAGCGCGTCCAGCCCGTGCGCGCGCGCCAGCCCGCACGCCGCGCGCACGCGCTCCTCCTCCTCCGACCTGTCACACGCATTCCCCGCCTTGCTTTTACCTCTTTCCTTCCCAAGCGAACACTTCTATATGTACTACTACACGCCCACTACGGTACTAATATACGGTATTCTTCTTTAATCCTCTTTAGTAAAATTATTCATCAATCCATATTTCTTAACCAACTCTATTCTTTAAAAAATACGGCATACATAATATGTATGCCGTATTTGTCCTGTAGGACTTACATATCACTGTAAACTATCGTTTATTTATACATCTTCCTACTTTCATAACAATCTGCATCTATCTATAATAATACAATAATATCTATAAACACAAATTAACATAACAAAATAATTTTATATTATCGGATAAATACTAGCTATATTCAGTAATATTTATGCACAAAAATAATGTTTTCGTATCATCATCGACTAAAATTGTATGGAAACAGGAAGAACGTCCCTGGGGTCTTTAAAACGTAGTTCCATTTAAGTTTTTTTGATTGCGGTATGATTCGATACAATAGAAAAATTAATTGAGCACAGATTTATACTGATGCTCTTGTGTCACTAACAACTATTGAATAAATTCTGCCATATACATATCGCCGAAATAGCTCAGTTGGGAGAGCGTTAGACTGAAGATCTAAAGGTCCCCGGTTCAATCCCGGGTTTCGGCAACAAATACTTTTTAATTTTCTTTCATTTTTATAATTTTTACCAAATTATCTTAGAATATTAATTCTAAATTATTTAAATCAAAATTAAATTACTCCAATAAAATTAATATAGCAATAAGCTCATACCATAGTTTATGCAAATAAGTGTACAAATAGCGTGGACGTAAAGCTTAAAAAAAATAAAGAAAAAATTTAATATTTATTTATTACTAAGCATAAGTTATACATTTTGCGAATTATTTTTTTTTTTCAAATATAGAAATTAATTGTGTCTAATATATCTGTAATGCCTTTTGTAATTTTGTAATGTTTTGAATTGGTTTGTAACTTCTTAACTGTTATAAAAATATGTGTGCGATTGTAAATTAACGTGTGACTGAAGTAAAACTATTACTATTATAATCATTTCATCAATTAATTACTATTAAAATACTAGTCAATCGCTTTTTTCGCCTTTCTAAACGCGAAAACTGTAAATGGAGCCTGTAATTAAGCTGGCTCCTTAACCTTTTATACTGGAACACAAAATTGGGTGCACTGCTGGTAAGTAGCCGATAGATAGAGGTGAGAGGCTGGTTACTAGCTAGACGAACTCCCTAGGCAGGAAAAGAGCCATCCAATGTACCATCTCCAAAAAATTATCCTCGGGTTTATACCCATAAGTAGCGTTATATACTGTGGAACTAACTGAACTGTAGAATTCGCAGCATTTATTTTCGTACTTAAGGGACAGAAACGTGCCAGCTAACTAGACTAGAGGACAGTACCTTGCTAGTCTATAGATGATCTCCCGTCGGTAGTCCTCGTCCGCGTTGAATAGAAGCCCGTTAACATTGAGCCCGAACTCGCGTAACTTCTCTACATCGGCCACGCCCGCTAGCTTGTCCAGGCACTGTCTGATCACCGCCATCTGTTCTTCGGACGCGTTGTTTTGTAGAAGCGTCGTGCGCGCCATCTGCAATGTAAATATATTTTTCTTTATTGAATGAAACAAGCAAAGGCAATAAGTATAATATAGCCTGCACATATTCCATTAACGATCACAAACCACATCTAATTTCTGCCAAATAAGATTTCTAAAATATGAGCGGAGACTAAAAATGATAAATGATAATAAAGTAACATTATAAATAATATGAAAGGAACAGCAAGATAGAAAGTAAGAGGGCAATTCGTGTGAGACGATTAAAATTACAATTTTATTAAATAATTATTCACATTTCACCAAAAGGAAAGTGATCACCTGTGTCCATGAGCACTTTTAATCTACTTCAAACAAGAAATGCATGTATTGTCACTTTTAGGGCTCACATCTATAACCATACTGACTATTTCATTATGCAATTGGGACAAAATAATAGGTGCAGTGCTGCTTGGAGACTGAAATAGGGAAGAGGGACTTACTCTGACGGACTTATAGTTCGAATAAATTAGTAATACCGTTGCGAAATAAACGTGGCAGAGCCATGCTGCATCTATATTACTAGTATAGTTGTAGCACGAATGGGTCGACTCGACCGAGGAAGGACCACGTTCTCACAGAATACCAGCGTAAATTAGCAGCTTAAAGCTGTTGTTTCGTATGGTGAGTGTAGAGAACGGGAGACCCTTTTTACTGGAAAAGAGGTATTCCTTCTTAGTTCTCATGGCATCTGCATTTTGATTAGCAAACACAGAAACCGCTTACCATCGGGTGGACTGTGTTCGTTTTTCGCCCATATTCTATAAAAGAAAAAACTGGCAACATGTGGAACACACAAGATTAGTAGTCCTCACGTGCATGAGTAATATTATCATTACAGCTTCTCCTTCACAAGTCCACTGCTGAACATAGGCCTTCCCCAAGGAATGCCACAAAGCATGATCCTGAGCCTCGAGCATCGATTCCTTGCATGTGTTATCAGGTTGTCACTTTATCTAATGGGGAGTCAACCTACACTTAGCCTACTGGTATGAGGCTGCCACTGACATTAGTATAGTGGGCATTATACAGGGTTATTTTTTAAAGAATAATCACATTTTAAAATTAAGTTCTAATATATATAAATATTGATATACCGTTATAGCAGTTTTTGAAAATACGAGTACATAAGGCTTGTACTTTTATTTGAAATTATCCCAAATTGAATATGATATATGGGCAACAATGTTTTTCCTTTTATTTATTTTTTTAGGAGAAGGGCCAAACGAGCATGCGGCTTACCTGATGGTAAGTGACTACCGCTGCCCATAAACAACCGCAACACCAGAGGAATTGCATTTACCTATATTACTTATTATGAACGTTCTGTGCAAATGTGTGCGGTTATTGCAAAACAACCGTGTATAGAGCTGTGTCACCTGGGTGGGTTCCGCGAGGTAGACTAGGTCGCGCAGTTGCGGCGCGTTGCAGTTGAGGAGCGCGGCGTACAGCAGTGCGCTGAGCGGCGCCGCGCCGTGCAGCGCGGCCGCCAGGCGCGCGCCCGCCCCCGGCCCGCGCGCCGCGCGCAGCAGCCATGCCACGCCCAGCGCCGTGTCGCGCCGCACCAGCTCCTGCGCGCACCGCTGCAACACTGACAACACACACACACATGTTACGCGAACACTTATTTTTTTTAATAACTGACTTTACGGCTCTGGGTTCTAGCCCTTCTGAGCCTGTAGTTACAATGTATAATTATCCTTCAAAGTACACTGCTTCACAAAATGTTGATGCATCACATTGTGCAGCCCTTGCAAGATTTTGACGGCAACTTGAGCCAGCAGACAGCTGACAGTTGGCGATGGTATCTCAAGGCGCCTAAGCAGACAAACATCTTATCTTGAGAATCACATCACCATCAGAGCACTCTTTCACCCTTTCCATTAATGTTCAAATAAGTTCACATGCGCAGACATTTAATACACAAATCGCACCACTTTTTATATCAAAATCCACTTCAAACCATTGTTTAAACAATAATACAGGAGCATCAATCCGTAACCGGTAAAGTTCCTGACAAAATTCCGAACACTTCTATGTATACTACTAAACTGAATATACACTGAGTTACATTAAATACGCCGTAACTCCTTTTAATCGACTGCGAGCGGCCGAGAACGCTATACTCCATCAAATCTAAAAATACTTTTTGACGTTTCACATCATTTCGTAATAATCTTGTACAAGCGTACCTACTCACAAAATTTAAAATATCCTTTTACGTAAACCAAAGAATTATGAAGTTATTCTCATTACAACGTGTACAGTTCGTACGGATAAAGAATGAAAGTTGAAATGGCGGTTCATCGATCTCATACCGTCACCATGCACAGTACCAATACTGAAAACCCGCTAATAATGGTATACCATTATAACATTATATTATTCGGTTATCTGGAATTTTTTTAGTAATGGGAAATAATTGAAAAACTTTGAATACATAAGTAGGTAAAATTTTAAAATAACATTTATAACTAGGACGCGGTCTGGCTTCGCTTGAGTAGTATCTATTAATATGACGTTATTTAAACTTATGGTAACCATTAAAGACCATTTAATAATAATTTGCATCAAAATTAACCAATTTAGATAAGTTTAAATCTTTATACATAAGAACGAACAAAAGATATTTTTGGTGAGCAGTGGTAATTCAGGAATTAAGCGTTCGTCTTAACATTTTATAGTATACAAGCAAACCGAGATGGCGTAATCGCCGTTGGCATCATTCAAATTCTTAATTGCAAATTTAAATGCTGACCAACATGCTTGTAGGCGAAAAAAATATCCTGCAACGTACATCAGAAAATTATAAAATCCGAAGACATATAAAATCTATCATCAGGTTTAAGTGCAGCGCTGCGGTCTGTTCTTTGCTATAAACGCTCTCAGAAATGAGAAGAGCTATGTGGGAAGCTGGGGCGTATACGGCCGTCACTGTTCATTACCTTCGGTCTCGATTTCCGGCATGGCCGCGTCCTCCAAGCAGCCGTGCACGTAGTACCAGGCGAGCAGGGCGTGCGCGAGGCCGGGCCGCTCGCTGGCGAAGCGCTCGTAGCCGTAGTCCGCGCGCGACGCCGCGTGCTGCGGGTACAGCGAGCGGTAGAACTCCGGGCAGTGCACGCGCTGCTCCGCCCCCGCGCCCCCCGCCCCACCCTCGCTGCCCTCGCTGCCCTCGCGCGCCGAGCACTCCCCCGCATCCTCCTCCGAGCTGCAACCAGCCGCGGCAACGCTCACGCACGACCCTCATTTACAACAACTCTAGTTTAAAACTCGCCTTCAATTAACGTATGCTCACGTTTTTATGTTACGAAACTTTTTGTCATGAACACCGCAATAAATACAAAAATATTATAAAATCAGTTAATTACGAATAAATAATAAAAAATACAATCCACTTCAATTATTACACGAAACACTTTATTTTCTGTAAGTAAGATAAAAAAATTGATAGAGTATTCAATATTATCGAGTATTAAACTGTTCTAACTGTGGAACTATCGACGTCAAAATAATACAGAGCACAAACTAGAAAAGTATAGAGCAAATATCGATACACATAATGTCATTTATATTATATAGGATAATAAAATAACTTTTTTTGGTTGTTATGTTCTCTGATCATGAATCTTCCCCGTAGAAAAGAATGTTTACCATCATTTTCACGATTGCTCAGCGGAGTACCAAATGTCTCGCGTCTTAAACGCTACTCCTAGTCTCCGATCTGGATATTTTACCAAGGCATTACTGCCTAAACGATATGGTTGTACCATCTACCTGCAGCCATCTTTCTGACATTCTCCATAGCTACCTATTACGACACCCACGAGACAAAATGTGGTGATAGACTTTCTTATGCCACCACCATACGGCAAAACTTTGAGTTACAAACACCAATATTTTTGTTTTTTCATTTATCACTGGACTGTATTTACAAGGCCACAGGTCAACATAGACCTTCACACAAAACTGCCATAAAGCACGATCCTGCGCCATTACACAAGCATCAAACCCCGCATATCTAATATTATTTAATAGTAAAAACTATGTTCGGCTTATATTTTGTAAGCAACTGAAATTTGACCTTCACTTGATTTGATTATAGTACGGCCGCTCGCACTACTGGCGCGGGCAAATATCGCTCAGGGAGTAACTAGCCTTCCTTAGTCCTTGTTTTATAGCAATAGCTCATTTGGTGCCAGATTTATATACATATTATTTAAATTGCATAGGCAATGATTAATCAAAAAAGTCTCTTTTTCTTCTTCTTCCTGCCCTTATCCCAAAGTTTGACATAGCATCTCATCTTCAATTATAACGCATATCGTTCCTATTGCAGTCCATCCATCTATTCTTAGCACTCCTCTGCTTTTATTTCCATCCACTTTCATAGCCCACAAAATTAATCAATAAAGTATATGTACATAAATATGAAAAATACAAACCTAAAATAGAATTTACTTTGAAATGTTTCAATGAGGTAGTTGAGTATCGGCACCTTTTTCTCCAACTGAGAAGGAACCACGAGATCTTTCTTCTCAATAATTGGCTGAAAACATATAATGTTGTTTGATTATTTATACAAATTAATGGCACGACGAGAAAAGTAATTCTCTTAAATAAATTAATATAAATTCGATCTTTGAATCAGTTAAAAATCAGAACAAATTGAAACTTTTAATGCGTAAAATCTGTTCTGTACCTAGTGCCTAGATCTGTTCTAGTATATACGCTTCATCTCTATTTTGCGACTGAGTTATTTATGCCGCCATTAAGTGAGATTGTGTGCACGTTGTACGTTTATGACGGATACCGAAAAATTTGACATCGAAATCCAGAGACGGCCAGCAATTTGGAAGAACACCTAATTGCCACAATATTGCTAATCCATCGTTGAAGTGACCGCAAATCGCAACGGTTCTTCAACCGCAGGGTGCGGTTGCGAATGCGGCTGCCCGCAATCCGGTTGGCTGCATTCGCAACCGTATCCTGCGGTTAGGATACGGATACGGACGGATAGCCGCATTGCAGTTACCCGCGTGCACTCGCGTAGTGCGTATAAGCACTTAAAATGTACTTACGGTTGTAACGGCATCTGCAAACTCATCGTCAGTGGAAGGGTAGCGCGCGGCGTATAGACTATGATCTTTAAGCGCCGCACCCATTTGCTCCAAGTTTTCAATTTCAAGACTGAGCCTGTTTGGAAAGTATAATCTGCGTAAGTTTTGAATTTTTTAGGTTATTGTTTTATTTTGGCATTATTCTTGTGCGATTAGTAACACTACCTTTTTATCCTTTTAATATTACACACTAATGAAGTTGTGTTGATTTATAATTCTTGACGTAGTATAAATAAATATACACTATTTAATGTAAGATTTCTATGTGTACTACTAGATGGGTTCTATGACCTTAATACATTACTTATACCGTAACTTAGTGTGAAGTTACGGTCAAATCTCCATAACTCGACTAGTTCTTTGCTTTGTAAACCGCGAGCGCTGTTTTCGACAAACTAACATTGATTTAGTTTAATGTGACTAAGAAAACGCTGTCCGCACTTGGCTAACGAAATTTGAAGTTTATTTCGGATAAGTATGTAACTTTATTTCGTATTTGTCTAAAATAGTAACTGTCGTAAATTAAAATATAATTACGTGACTTTTTTACTGTGCCAACTACTCGCTCAGACGGCGTCCGCGCCCAATACCGTGCGATTCACAGCTGTCACACAATTTTTGTTCTGAATTGCCGGTCTACTAGTCCTTATATATAAAAAATATGTGTCACATTGTTTGTCCGTGATGTACTTCTAAATTACTGAACTGACTTCAATGAAATTTTGCACACTGTGTGCAGTTTGGTTCAACTTGAGAGTTAGGATAGTTTTATTCCGTTAAGTCACCATCAATATCTTTTATTGCGAATTTAAGGTTTTTTTTTTATTAGACAAAGGGTCGCCGGAAAGAGCAGAACAACGTCTGCCTGGTCAACTAGTATTATATTTATAGAATTCTTTGTTTATAATATTTATAACAGTTCGGAGAAGTTTTTTCTTCGTATTTTATATAGGAATTCAAGATTTTTTTTAAAGTTTAATTACATTTAATTATAATATGTATGTGCCATTTTGTTCGGTAACTTGTTGCCATCTTGTAGACAGTGACATAATCCCGTTGTTGTAGAAATCTTGGGACTTTTGATCAAAAAAATGCGACAAGTAGTTTTGACGACAATACTCTCTTGATGTTAACCTAACACTACCGAAAGAATTCTGAAGAGATCGAAAAAGATGAAAATTTGAGCGTGCAAGCTTAACCAGCCTCTCTAAATTTTCGTTGAGTGGTTAAAGATGTGTGTTGTCTGTTATTATGATGAAAGACCACTTGTGTGACCACAATGAAAAACGGCTGGAATTGACCAACAAAAAGTTGATCAATTTCGGCCGTTTTTACTCAACTTCTTGCTTGAGTTTCATTAGTTGTTGAGAGTAGAGAGCATCACCTTATTGCATGGCCAGGTACGTACCGGTCGCGCAGCACGTGCTCGAGGCGCGCGGGCGCGATGTGCGCGGCGGCGGCGGCGAGCAGGTGGCGGCGCGCGGCGGGGTCGGCGTGCGGGTGCGCGCGCGCGGCGGCGGCCAGCAGGCGCGCGGCGGGCGCGTGGCGCGCGCCGGTGTGTGTGTGGCCAGGTACGTACCGGTCGCGCAGCACGTGCTCGAGGCGCGCGGGCGCGATGTGCGCGGCGGCGGCGGCGAGCAGGTGGCGGCGCGCGGCGGGGTCGGCGTGCGGGTGCGCGCGCGCGGCGGCGGCCAGCAGGCGCGCGGCGGGCGCGTGGCGCGCGCCGGTGTGTGTGTGGCCAGGTACGTACCGGTCGCGCAGCACGTGCTCGAGGCGCGCGGGCGCGATGTGCGCGGCGGCGGCGGCGAGCAGGTGGCGGCGCGCGGCGGGGTCGGCGTGCGGGTGCGCGCGCGCGGCGGCGGCCAGCAGGCGCGCGGCGGGCGCGTGGCGCGCGCCGGTGTGTGTGTGGCCAGGTACGTACCGGTCGCGCAGCACGTGCTCGAGGCGCGCGGGCGCGATGTGCGCGGCGGCGGCGGCGAGCAGGTGGCGGCGCGCGGCGGGGTCGGCGTGCGGGTGCGCGCGCGCGGCGGCGGCCAGCAGGCGCGCGGCGGGCGCGTGGCGCGCGCCGGTGTGTGTGTGGCCAGGTACGTACCGGTCGCGCAGCACGTGCTCGAGGCGCGCGGGCGCGATGTGCGCGGCGGCGGCGGCGAGCAGGTGGCGGCGCGCGGCGGGGTCGGCGTGCGGGTGCGCGCGCGCGGCGGCGGCCAGCAGGCGCGCGGCGGGCGCGTGGCGCGCGCCGGTGTGTGTGTGGCCAGGTACGTACCGGTCGCGCAGCACGTGCTCGAGGCGCGCGGGCGCGATGTGCGCGGCGGCGGCGGCGAGCAGGTGGCGGCGCGCGGCGGGGTCGGCGTGCGGGTGCGCGCGCGCGGCGGCGGCCAGCAGGCGCGCGGCGGGCGCGTGGCGCGCGCCGGTGTGTGTGTGGCCAGGTACGTACCGGTCGCGCAGCACGTGCTCGAGGCGCGCGGGCGCGATGTGCGCGGCGGCGGCGGCGAGCAGGTGGCGGCGCGCGGCGGGGTCGGCGTGCGGGTGCGCGCGCGCGGCGGCGGCCAGCAGGCGCGCGGCGGGCGCGTGGCGCAGCGCCGCCAGCCGCCGCGCCGCGCCCGCCGCCGCCGCGCCCGCGCCCGCCGCACACCCCGCCTCCAGCGCCTGCTCGCACACCAGCTGCAGCACCGCGCCTTCGCTGAAACCACACCACACACATTATACAGTGTTACATTACATACACTCAAAAACAGTAACAGTTGCATTCGTTAAGATGATTCAATATTAGGTCATATGCTTTATATGTAGAGCACAGAAACAGCAAACAATTATACATCTTCACAACTTCCGTGACGTGTTAAAATAGACAATTTTATCACGTCATTATACAATACACTTAGTCAACTATCGCCATTTAAAAATATAGTGTTAACGGGTGATATGAATATAAATCTCAATCCTGAAAGCAGTCATTGCAGAGCAACAGACTACCTTAATATCTGTGCATGCCAAGGCCTGCTTCCAGCACATTTGCTCCCTTCTCATCTAAGTGGTTCCTGTGTAGACCACACTTTACTAAAAACTAAGTTACCATCTATAACCCTTGTCACCAATCGTATAGTGACCGATCATAGTGCCGCCCTTCTTAACTTAAGCCTTAAAATACCTAAACCGAAGTGTAAATACTCTATTCCTAAAACTAATATGAAAAACCTTGAACATGCAATTCAAAACATTGACTTTAGCTCAGTTTATAAAACCGATGAAGTAAACATTTCTTTGCTTTACTTAATAAATAACGTACGAAATGCCATCGTTAGCAACACTTGGAATACCACAATAGTTAAAAATAATAATAACTTAAAGCCTTGGATTACACCCGGTCTAATTCAAAAACTTTTTCAGATAATTCAGTCTTACAAATTTCATATGAAAGATATAGGAATTTTTGTAATAATATATTAAAAAAGTTGAAGTATAATTATTTTACAAACTTACTGGAAGAGTCTGGTAGAAATAATAAAAAAAAATTGCCGGCATGTAAAAGATATTGCATTTATATCCAAACAGCAAGAATCTTCAGCAGAATCATTAAAAAATATATCCTCGCCGCTTATATCAGCAAATAAAGCAAATAATAACTTTGTGAACGTGAGTAAAAAAAATAACAATTCTAACAATAATCATGAATACAGGGCCATTTTTTCAACTCAAAAAAACTGCCAATTAAGGTCGTTCGCATTATTAGATACGGACGCTACTAAGGTAGAAAGTATTATAAAGGGACTGAAAAAAACAAGCGGTTGGTTGGGATGGCATACCCACTAGTATATTAAGAAAATTTAGACAAATTCTAGTACCACCATTAACTCATATTTTTCGAATTTGCCTCTCTGAAGAAATTTTTCCAGATTGTTTAAAAAAAGCCATTATAGTTCTAGTATATAAATCGGGAGACAAAAAAAACGTTTCCAAGTATCGGCCTATCTCAATACTCTCATCTACGTCTAAAATATTAGAAAAATTAATTAACAATACATTAGTGAATTATTTACAAAGTGAATCCATATTATGAAATATGCAATATGGTTTCAGACCAAAATTGTCCACTGCTGATGCTGTGCAGGTAATGAATGATTACGTCTCTCAAGAATTAGATAAAGGCAACCAATCAATTGGCATTTTCCTTGACCTAGCAAAAGCTTGTGATACAGTTTCTATTCCCATCATATTAAATAAGCTAGAGAGCATAGGTATTCGAGGTAAACGGCTTCAACGTTTTGCGAACTATTTAGATAATCGATATCAATGCATAAAAATTGAAAAGGTATTAGCTCTGAACAAAAAAATACTCATTTTGGCGTGCCTCAAGGAAGTGTATTAGGGCCAACCCTATTTTTGATATATATATAAATGACCTTTGCAATCTTGAACTTAACTCGGGTAAAATAATATCTTACGCAGATGATACCGTGCTCCTTTTTTCCGCAAATACAGTAGACAAGGTTTATTTATGTGCAGAGTAAGGTTTTGACAGGCTTAATAAATGGCTCCAACAAAATATATTAACACTGAATACGGACAAAACCAAATATATTCATTTTTCTATACGCAGCTCAACATAGCATATAACCATTCCAAAAATTTATGCACATAAATGTTGCTCAGTCACAGAGTCTAATTGTAACTGCCCAGTTATTTTTAATACAAAAACTATTAAATACCTTGGAATAATTATAGATTCTACTCTTACATTTAAAAACCACATAGAACACCTCTGCAATAGAGTCCGTAAACTAATGTTTGTTTCTAAAAAGATTCGTCCTTTTGTTGATATTAAGGTAGTAAAGCAAGTATATTTCGCATTATGTCAATCAATTCTCACCTATTGTATAACCTCATGGTGAGGAGCAGCTAAAACTACACTGCTACCACTGGAACACGCTCAAAGAGCTGTATTAAAAGTCGCAACATTCCGCTCTATCCTATTACCGTTCCATCTCTTATATAAATCCTATAATGTCCTCTCAGTGCGCCAGTTATTCATTATGAGTACGTTACTAAGACAGCAGTTAAAATTGCCCTACAGAAGAGAGGTCACTGATAAAAGACGCAAAGATAAAGTTATTGAAACTAACATTAGAATAAGGCATTCTTTCATGCATAGATTTTTTACATTCCTTGGCCCTTTTCTGTATAATCAAGTTAATGCCTTTATAAATTTATATATTATTAAAAGGTATATGTATCCATTAAAAATGGCAGATTGTAAAAATGTAATTCGAACATGGTTACAAAACTTGTCATATGATGATACGGAAAAGTTGTTGATTGTTTTAACTTAATTAAAATCATAAGTAAATTAATGATAATATATTTTATCGATGTAACCCTAATTAGTTAGTATGTCATTCATTTTATATAAGAAACAGAAAATATTTGTAAATGTATCTATTAGCTCATACACCTGAGATACGTAGGTTTATCCTAGTTCAGGTGCCCGTTATTGTAGACTATTTTAAATTAAGACATTATTTGAATTAATTGTACAGTTTCTTCAAATAAATTATTGGGTTATCTATAAAGTTTTCTCATCTGGTTGGGCTGTTTAAATATATAATTGTAAACGAAAGATATTTAAACATACATAAATATCAATAAAATAGAATAAATACATAAAAAATATATAAATATATAAAAACCCAACCAGATGGAAACCCTCAGCTGGGGAGACCAAACGGCCGAGGGTTAGGAGGAAAGGGAAAGAAACCGGCGGACGAAGCGGGCGGTATCGAAGAAATAAATTATTATTATACGGAACTTTATTATGTACCTATAACTACTTTAAAGGTTTTCAAGAAAAATACATTATTATAAAAAATTGAAATGTTCATATATGATGAAATAGTAAAATCGTGAAAATTTTATAAATGTGTATTACTTGCTCCGACTAAACAGATAACTTACATTTTGTCCCCATAATTGACCCTCAATATTTTTTTATTGCTGTTTCTTATTGACAAAGAATCGTTAAAAAAACAGGACAAAACAACGTCTGCTTAGCACGCTAGTTACAATATAAATTTTAAAATTAAATGTAATAAAAGATTAGATGATTATAATATAATTTAATATGCTATTCACAACTTAACCATAAAAAAAATTGCTATACTTAATTGTTTAAATGCTTAATTAAAATGCTAATATAACTATATGAGAAAAATATGTAAATTTCCAAACATGAAAAAAAATATAAAAAGAGAAATCAGTTCAATTTCTCTTTTTATAATTAAAAAAATACTTATAATACGCCATAATAATATTTGTTTATTAATTGTTACACCAAACTACAACATATACGTGGTTGATTATTATCATAATTACAGCCCTTCACAAGTCCACTGCTGAACATAGGCCTCCCCCAAGGATTGCCACAAATCACGGTCTTGAGCCACCTGCATCCATCGACTTTGTGCATTGTCTTACCAGATCGTCACTTCATCTAGCGGGGGGACGTCCTACACTTCGCCTGCCGGTACGAGGCAGCCACTCGAGAACCTATCTTCTCCATCGCTTGTCGGTTTTTCGAGCTATATGGCCGGGCCATTGCCTCTTCAGCTTACTAATCCGTTGGGCTATGTCGGTTACTCTGGTTCTACTGCGCATATCCTCGTTTTTAAGTCTATCACGCAGAGAAACCTCGAGCATAGGCCTCCCCATAGCCCGCTAAGCGACCTTGAGCTTCCTCATACGGCCAGCAGTGAAAGACCACGTCTCAGATCCATAAGTTATCACTGGCAACATACACTGGTGGTACAATCTCGTGTTCAAGTTTTAAGGTATACCTGACGAGAAGGTTTGTCGTAACTTCCCGAACGCTGCCCGGCCGAGTTGAATTCGTCGATTGACCTCTCGGTCGAATTCGGACTTATTTAGTCGGACTATTTGTCCCAGGTAAACTAGTTCAATCTCAGTGCTCCTAACAACTACAGGCATAGGTGTGACATGGATGTTACACATGATCTTTTTTGTAGTTCTTCAAGACAGCGTCTTCTTTCCTGAAGAACAAGCCCACCGCACTTCTGCTCCATGCCTTCGGAATAGTGCCACCATGGAGGACGGAATGAAAGACCTTCTGAAGGACTTCAAGTACCGGTTTTCCACCCGCTTTCAGAAGCTCCGCTATATTCCATCCTCACCCGGGATTTTTAAGGTGCTGGAGAGCCATTCTAATCTTGCACAGACTGACGTCCAAAACAGCATCGGAATAGTGTCGGATAAGACTTGCTTTCGGATCGTTATAGATCGGAACAGTTGCGGTCTAGTCGTCATAATGATATCAATTTCATTTTTGTCGAACCGTCGGGGCTCGACTAACTCCATTTTCTGTGGGGCCGCTTCTGGAAGAAAGAGTTCATCATAAAGAGTCCCTCTTTCTCCATGAAGTCGGCTACCTGCTGGCCCCTTGGGTTCAGTTGTCCTATTCCGATTTCCCTGTCTTCAGCTCACCGTTCTCTCTTGTGCCTAGTATTACGTTATAGTCTCCCATTAACACCGTATATTGGGTTTTGGATATATCCTCACCCTCCTCATCGGGATGTGCCGAGGTTGGTGCGTAAGCCTGTCGATCGCGGTCCGAAGAACATGACTACACACTCGTGCTACTTCGCGAAGAGCTCAGTCGTCATGAGTCTCCCGCACCCTTAACATGAATAACGTTCAAAAGGCAGCTGCTATAGATACCTAATTGTGCGAACAGTACGACGTCAATGCGTTAACAAAACAAATAATTATGTAGAAAGCTAGATATTTAATATTTATATATAAAAAAATATTCATAACTGGCGTAAGCCGAATAGTGTAGTGAGACGCTTCGTGTAACTTCGGGGTACTTCGTGAAGTCCTTAGACTCTGGCGCAAAAAACCGACAGCGATCGGAAGTCGCCCGAGGCGAAGCAAGGTTGGACGAAGTGAATCGAAGTACCTCTCTACACTATTCGCTTCGTCCAACTTCGATCTACTTCGCGAGTAATGGAGAGGAGACATAAGGCAACTCGTTTATCTCTTCTTCCAGCTCCAGGATCTTCTCGTCAGTCCTCAGGGTGTGTGCGTTATATGTTGCCTGGTTGAAACGTCTTAGGTAGCAACCGAGCCTCTACCGGATATTCTTAGGACCCACTTGATTATTATAATTACTCTAAATTGAGGTTTTGGATTTAGTAGATGAAAGTTGTCAAGTGGCCGTAAAAAGAGACCGAGTTGTGACAGTCGCTTTTGAACACTTCCCAGGAAAGTAAAGCAAAAATTGTTAGTGAGCTCTTTGCAACCATAAATATTATTACGCACATTGTAAATGGTATTTGCGTTCTAAATTCTAAAATGAACACACAAAATATTGAGTCTACACAAAATAATTAATAATTTTGATTATTTCTCTAAACAATGGTTTAAAAGTATTCGGTGATATTGCGTTATTAACTACTCCGTAAGAAATTAAATTTATTTCGCCCGCTTAGCGCAAATAAGAAAAAAATAATATATTACCGTGCTTGTTCATCATCTCCAGCGATCCTCAGCAATTTGGCAAGTTTCAGCAATTTGTGACTAGCAAGATATGCGGTGTGATCCAATTTTAAACATTCTTGTATTAAAGTCATTTTATCCTCACATAGACGAACTGAAAACGTACCAACATAACATTTTATAAGACATTATGTTGGGGCAAAAATATTGACCATAGACAAATAAAATAACACAAAACGATACCTTGAATCGGAAGGATAGTCAATCCAAAAGCACTCAGTAATGGCAATGCAGCGATAAGGTCCAGCTCTTGTTGTATCTCGTCATTTTCGTCTTCGATCAACGTGAGGCAGCATCTGCACACAACAAGGTAATTGTCGCAATCAAAGTCAACACTTTTTAATAAAATTATATTCGCGATGTCGCAATTTGTATATTTCCAGTGATAATTTATGGAAGTGGACATTGTAAGTGTAAGAAACCGGAGACCCTTTTTGCTGGTAACGAGGCAATCTATCTTAGTATTGCTCAAGCTGCCGTCAAAATTACTCCAAAACTTCGCAATGTCAATGCATCAACATATTGTTGTGAAGAAGTTTTCAAACAAATTATTAAAATAAGATAATTTCATAATACTTGCCACTGGTAAAAGTACGACAGTACCAATTCATTACCAAGGAAAAAGAAAAACGTGTACAGTTCATAGGATAATTGTACAGCTAATTTATTATAATATTATTACCAAGTTTAAAAAATATTTTACTATTTATTCTACTTTATTATATTATATTACATAACAGACTCCCAAGTTTTCAATTTCATCAAATGACACGAGTGGCTAAATGGTAACTAAAGTATACATATGGGTTATTTTGCAAATATACGACTAAATTTGCAGAGGAAATTCAGAATAGGTAATATAAGCGAATGATGAAAAAAAAAATAAGAAATAAACTAAAACATTATGTTTTTTATCTTTTATATTCAAAATGTGTGGAAATGCATTATTTTAACTGATTTCATTCATAAATATGAAGCGCCTACTATTTTATTACGCACGCACACATGGCGCACGCGCTCGGTTACAGATTTAGGTATCTATTAGTTGTTTTTACACGGTAAAGACAAGCGCATCTTCCCGCCCTCTCTATTCTGTTACATCGCTAGGCATGTTCGCCTAGTCGGCCGACAGTGTTGACTTGACCTAATTACATACGAGTGTACTATTTTTAAAATTTCATAGCTAGCATTACTTGTCACTTCGTCACGAAATTATTCGAACCGCGAATACTATAATATGGTATGGCGTTACATTTAAAGCAAGGAAAGTTTATGTAGTGCGCAAAGGTTATACGAAAGCGAGTCTTTACCACGTTTGCAAAAAAATAAATAACACACGTGTACCACCCAATCGGAGTACAATTTTAGCAATAAACCAAAGGCTGTTATACTTTGGACAGTTTACCACTCCGTCACATGGAAGCACTAACGGTGGTCGTTCGGCTGTCGAAAACGCAGTGATCGAGTTTTTTAATCGAAACAGCTCGAGAATTCAGAGTTAGTGAGAACGACGTGGGGAAACTACTGAGTTCTTCCAGATATCAGCCATATCATTACCAACGTGTGCAAGCATTGAATAATAACGATGGTCCACCTCAAAAACAATTTTGTGAATGGTTGTTGTCAAACATTGATAATACTAACATTACGTGGACTGACGAAGCCCTATTTACGCATCTAGGACTTTATAATAGTCGTGTTCGTTACTGGGCAGTATGCAACCCATACGCTATAAAAGACATTTATCATCAAGTGTGATTTAGAGTAATGTAATTGCTTGGGCCGGAATTATTGATAACATAACTGTGGGACCGTACTTCATTGAAAGACAATTAATGGGTGGTAATCATTTGTAATTATTTGGATATATTACAAGGTGTTATTCAAGATTTCCTGGACGATATACCCCTAGTATTACTGAATATTTTTTATTTCCAACACGACGGTGCTTCGCCTAACTATTTAAGTGTAGTACGCTATTATTTAAATAACGAATATGGGGATAGATGGGTAGGACGTGGCTGCCCCATACCACGGCCTGCAAGGTTAAAGGATCTTACACTGTTAGACTTTTATTTATGGGGTGAAATAAAGGGACGTGTTTACGTAGAAGAGGCCCAAAGTTATGAAGATCTCTGCAGCAAAATAATTGCTGCATTTACGGAAGTTAAGAGCGCTCAAACACATGCAATTAATGTGAAAAATAATTTGAGGAAACGTGCTCAACCATGTATTGAGAGAAACGGACTCCATTTTCTGTCGACCTCCAAAAAGGAGACGGTACTAAATTCGACTGTATGTTTTTTTATGTGTGTTACCTCATAACTTTTTACTGGGTGAATCGATTTCGATTATTCTTATTTTTATTTGAAAGATAGTACTTCTTGTGTGGTCCCTTATGAATTTGATCAAGGTCAGACCAATCGTTTTTGTGTTATTTTTAATAATTTATATTGAAGTCGGCTGTACATAATTTTTAATTTTAAATTATGAACACTTATTGAAATACCAATTAGCTAGTGTTATCATAAGTGATTGCATATTTAACTTGTAAATAATTCGTTATTGTACATAATTTATCGTTTTAAATTGTTAATAGTTGTAAATACTTGATTCTTTTTAAATACGCCATAATAAAGACAGTCATTGGTTACGTCGTTGAAATTTTATTTTATTTATCATGACGGTCTTAAGCCCGTTTAGAGTAAGAAGGAAAAATTGGAATGACAATTCGCGTTGCGTAGTTATCAACTTTAGTAGCGAGCGTGTCATAAAGGAAGCAAATAGTAGGCAAAAGCTCCGTTTATTGACTTGACACTACGCTCTAGTTGTTGCCCATAAATCACATAAAATTTCGGATATTTTCGAGTAAATGTAGTATTTTTAAAACCGCAAAAAGTGTATATTGGTATTTATATTTAGAACTTAATTATTACATTTGGCTGCTCTTTGAAAAATAACCCTGTATAATAGATAACAGGGAACACTGTATAATGTTTTCTATCTCATTCTCTCGTAGGTTAAACTTAAATCTTATAGATGTACATGTTTGTCTCTTTTTAGTGTAATTTTTTCGTAAAGTTTTCACTAAAAATACATTTAGTGAAGTAGTGTAGTGGCAGGGCGGTGGGTCACCTGGCGAGGTCGAGGGCCGGGTCGGTGAGCGCGGAGGCGGAGTTGAAGTACTCGCGCGCGGCGCTCAGCACGAGCTGCACGGAGCACGCGTACGACAGCGCGGGCGGGCCGCGCCGCGCCGCCGCGCTGCACGACAGCACGGCGCCCGCCAGCCGCACGCCGCCCGCAGACCCCGACGCCAGCAGCGCCGACGCGTAAATCTGCCGCCGCACACCCCACCCAACTCAACCACACGCGACCAATTATACCAAACACTTCTATGTACTATTACACCGGCATTTCAGTACAAAAACTATGTCACAGCGGTGGATCGCGCGGGCGGGATACCGGCACGTTAAATATACCACGGTTACTGTTTTTAGGTGAAAATAAATATTTTTTTTACGTGGCAGAGCCATGATGCAACTATATTAATAGTATAGTTGTAGCACGAATGGGTCAGCTATGGAATACCAGTGTAAAATAGCAGCTTAATGCTGCTGTATTTTGATATGGTGAGTGTAAAGAATCGGAGAAACTTTTTACTGGAAAAGAGGCATTCTATCTTCGTCCTCACGGCTGACTACGCATCTGCATTTTGATTTCTAATCGTCTGTTTAAATAACCATAATATACCATTCGCACCGGGAGCAACGAAAAGGTTATCACCATTAACAAGCAGTCCTTTGAAATGCAACCGGGGCCCCTCGATCGCTTTGCTTGAATTTCCTTATCAGTCTTATTAAAAGATACTGCGTGTGAGTATAAAGTAAGACAAATGTGGCAGTCGTCGCCTTTCACTCATACCAAAGGGAAGTGAAGAAAAAGCGGCAAACAATAAAAAATAAAAAAAAATAAAATAAGTTTTTATACCCAGTCAAATAGTTCCATTTCTACATTAAAAAAAATTGTATCATATAATAACAAAAGAATACTGATTTAATGAGCAAACTTTATCAGGTATTAATAAATAATAAAATATACCTCATAGCATTGCTCCTTAGGAACACAATCAAATAGAGTGCTTTGTAATTCAAGGATGTCTTTGAGAAGACACTCCCAGTCCTGCTGCGTCGGTTTCTCGTCACTGAAAACAAAATGACGTAAGTAAAAATACGTTATGTATTCCTTAAATTTTAAGTAAAAATTGCAATTGTTCAGAACTGCTTTTGAGAGATTGTAAAACTGAAACTAGTACGGGTGCCCTAAATTATGGCGTGGTTGTCGTTGCAACGGTGGAACTCATTCGCGCGTGTTTATCAACGTAACGCTGCGAGGAGTTTTGGCAGGAACTTGACAGCCGATGGATTGCTGTTCTTGTTTTAATTTGCTCTAGTTTAAATAATAGTTTATAATGGATTTTGAAACCTAAAATGTCTGCCCATGTGAATTATTAGTGGAAACGACGTAATTAATACTTAGATGGTGATATAAATCTTCGGTTTCTTTATCCGCAAAGAGACGTTGAGATATTATCATTATCAACCGTCCCCTCGGTTCAGTTGTCGTCAAAACTTTACAATTTGACGAATTAGCATATATTTTTTTATTTTATTGAACAAAAAACAGATACACATTAATGTAATATAAGACAATTTCTATTGGCACACAGAGCACAGTTTAAAGAATTAACAGTTGTGAAACGCCTTTGAAGTCAGGCGATGTCGCCTCCTGCGTAAGTATTTACGTCGTCGTCGCAAATATGCTAAGTGTTGTCCCAAAATTGGGTATTAAATAATTTTGAATATTATAATACTCATTGTCATTTATTAACATTATGTACATATTTATAAGTTAAAAACATTTAATGAACAAGATCAGTTTTATTAATACAAACAAAAATATATGTGTTACTACACTGCCAAATATTTTCGTGACACTTTCTTTTTTTATATGTTTTCAGTTTTAGTTTTTTAAATTTAATTATGTATTGTTGTTATAAGCATTCGGATAAACAATTTTATTACAAGAAAAATGAGGGAAACTTTATTTAGTAACTGATATAACTATTAAATAGGCATTTAAAATTAGTTAAATAAGTTTTTATGTATTGTACAGCAGACTTAGTGAAAGTCGCGTCGCCTCTTGCCCCGCAAGTCACCCGCCATTGCCTTTCACTAGTACATTCGTTTCCCAACTGTTAGACTCTCTTTAAACTGTGCTAGGAGTACTTAACGTGTAACCTACACGAATGCCCACAAAATAATATTGTATGCCTTATGTTTAACACAACTGCCGCAATTTAGTAGTGGAGGTGTAGTAAATATGTTAATTAAAGTATAATTTCAAAAATTTCAGACAAGGCTGTATGGTGTACGACGTTTGCCTGCCTCAATTGGCGAAACAACATACCGTTGGGAGAGTTCCCGCGCGAGGCGTGCGAGCAGGCGCGCGGCCTGTGCGCGGTCGGCGAGCATGTCGCGCAGGTCGCGCGGCGCCACGCGCACGCCGCGCCACGCCGCGCGCGCCGCGCCCGCCACCAGCCGCTCCAGCGCGCCCGCGCGCCGCACCAGCTCGCTGCTCGAGATGCTGCCGTCGCTGCACACCGCTCACGTCACTACACGCTCGTACAACACTAACATCGCTCACGTACTAACATACTTATATTCCAAACGTTACATAGGCCTCCCCCATGTATTGCCTCATAGGGTGGATATTTGCCATAGTTGCCACGCTTGGCGAGCGGGTCGGCAACTGCAGTTTTTTATTTTCCTGATTTGTTTCCCACTATCGCCTATTACGACAGCCACGGGATGATATGTATAATGACATTATATGATATGGTACAGCCACGCTTTAGCTATTTATTGTGCACGAATGGCTCGCCTCGACCGGGCTAAGATTAGAGGTGTTTCTAATACATTTTTTTTTATACAAAATCAAGAGTCCATGTCATAATTCGTTGAATACGTTGCGTACGTGGGACCAATCTGTCTTTACCTTAAACGTCAATTTCAAAGTCATATTGTTACTGTGCAAACATAGAACATACACAATATAAACATAACATCCACAATATATTACCGGTGTAGGACCGCGATCTCACACAATACGTATTTATCGACGGTGTCTTTCCTAGTGTAGTGGTGTTGGGAGTAGTGATACTAGGAGTAGTAGAATGGGGATCAATGGTGACGAGGATAGTGCACGCAAATGAGGAAGGGCGAGAGGTGCTTTTCAAACTAGGTAAGACACATCACTTTATTTTATTACGCAAATCTTAGCTGATTGATTTTTTTTGACATCTTTAATACCACTAATGTTAATAATAATATTGTTTTGTCTGAATCCTTTTGTATACAAATAATCTCATACTATTTAACTACAATTAACCTCAACGCAACGAGGGCATCCACGACTTTTTCTGCCACCAGGGCGGCGCCACTTTACAATGAGGTAAAATATTTGACAGATGTCATAGCGGGGGACGATAATTTCTTAGGAAAAAGTAAACTTTAACGTTTATTTCCGTATTATTGGTTGTATTTCATATTATTTAAGTTACAAATGAATAAACCAAACTAAATATTACTATAGAAAAATTTAAAAAAGAGTTATAGAGCGCAAAAAATTAAAAATCAAACCACTGACGCATTGTGTTGTGTATTAATTTAATACTCTAGATAATGATAAGGTATTATTTAAAACTAATTTCTCAATTAACTGACATTGTGTAATAAAAAACTTTACCTCAGTCCCAACTAGCGACATCTGGTGAGTGGAAAATTATTAGCCCTCATCGATAGACTTAACAAATTTGAACATTCGTCATAAACAAATAAGGACCCTAAAACAGCATTATTTATTATAACTTACCTTTCCTTAAGTATTGTGTTAAGTAAGTCACAGGCCATATCTAATTGATCGGTACCGTTGTGCGCGAAGAGACACCTCTCCACCAGTTCAAGATGCGTACGGATATCCAGTTCAAATTCGTTCGGAGATTGCAACACCTGGTTAGTGGTAGTGATGAGGTATTGTAAAAGGTGTGCTTAGAAAATGTATTGATATTGCAAAAAGGAATAAAAATATGCTCACCAGTAGAATCGAGGAAAGGTCATCTACGCTAATACTCTCGAGGAAATCAATGAGTCCATTGAGGCAGGCGTCGCTGCATTGTGTTAGATTTTCATAGCGTTTCAGGTACGGGACCACATACTGCTTTAGGTCCGATACGAAAGTCGCCGGCGTCGACTGAAACGACAATACGATATTGGTGTTAATACGATGGTTATGATTTAAATATTATCAATTTTGTTTTGTAATAATCTAATACCAATTTAATAACTAAATAAAAAAAACAGTATATTAATCTGATTCCAAAGTTACATAACTTAGGTTACTATTTTTGTCACGTGCCCTGCAAGTGATAATAGTAAGAATATTATTAGTAAATACATGTAAGTTTAAATATGAGCTGATAAGTCGATGAACGCCGGTGGTTGTGTTTTGTGGAATTTTTTCTGTTCCGTAGTGAACTTGTGAAAGGTTGTTATGATGATGATGACGATGAGCTGCCGTTTGCCGTCAATAGTTTATATATACGAGGGTGGATTGAAAAGTACTCGGCCTAACACAGATCCATTCAATTCTAAAAATCAAATCTACCCACATTATTTAGTTCAGTTCAGACTAGTTCATTGTGTGAAGTTCGAAACGTGTGCGATAATTAGTTGTGATTTTATAAATTTATTAACAAAGTAATCGGACATAATTTCCGCGAATGGAGCAAATCGAGCAGCGTGCCGTCATTAAGTACCTCCATAAGAAGGGGCTATCATCAAAAGCCATCCATGATGACATGGTCAGTACATTAGGCGATTGTGCTCTGTCATATTCATCCGTCAAAAAATGGATAGCAGAATTTAAGCGTGGTAGAGAGAGTGTGAAAGATGAACCCCGCTCTGGAAGGCCTTCGACGTCAACTACTGACGAAAATATTAAAAAAGTACTTGATTTAATAATGGGAGACCGCAGATTAAAAATTAGAGAGATAGCCGAGATTATAGGCATCTCTTATGAACGAACTCAAAACATCATTGTCAACGAGTTGGGTTTCCACAAGGTGTCTGCGAGGTGGGTTCCGCGACTGCTTTCAGTTGAACAAAAAGGACGCGATTGACTATTTCACGCGACTGTTTGGAGTTATTTGAAGCCGATGCAGATGATTTTTGAATCGTTTTGTTACTATGGACGAAACATGGGTTCATTACTGTACACCGGAAACAAAACAACAATCAAAACAGTGGAGAAGACCTGGTTCACCACCCCCTAAAAAGGCTAAGTCGATTTTGTCGGCAAATAAGGTGATGGCTTCAGTATTCTGGGACTCGAAAGGTGTGATTATGATTGATTATCTTGAAAGGGGTCAGAATATAAACTCTGATTACTACTGCACCTTAATACGTCGTTTACGAGAGGAAATAAAAGAAAAACGTCGAGGAATGCTCAGAAGAAAAGTCCTGTTTCATCAAGATAACGCCCGTGTTCACACGTCAGTACAGTCAATGGCTGAAATTCACAACTGTGGCTTTGAACTGTTACCGCATCCGCCGTATTAACCTGATCTGGCACCATCAGACTTCTTTCTGTTCCCTAACCTAAAAAAGCACTTGGGAGGTCAAAGATTTTCGACAAGCGACGAGGTCAAAGCAGCTGTAGACGCATATTTTGACTCTAAGGAAGAATCATTTTTTTTCAACGGTCTAAATGCTTGGAAGGGGAGGTGGCAAAAGTGTATTGAACTTGATGGTGATTATGTAGAAAAATAAAAATATAACTGATTTAGTATTTGTTTATTTTCTTGGTTAGGCCGAGTACTTTTCAATCCACCCTCGTATATATACATCGCTGATATATTATGTCGTTATAAATAAGGAAAATATGTGATAATGGAATCATTCCTTAGGAAAAAGCGTTAATTCACATTTGCAATGATTTTCTAAAGTGTTCACGAACTTTATTTTTGAAAATAAACTTTTTTTTAATGTCAAGAGGTATTTCGCCCCAGAGTCTTACAGCCGTCAGAGTGGCAAAGAGCTAACGAGTGGGACATAATATAACAAAAGGGTAAAAGCGTTAGCAACTTTATATTATCCGAATATAATATATAATTTAAATTTCACGTACTCAGGAGCACAAGGATCGTTCAGAATAGTGAAAAGAGTGCAGAGTATTTTAAGATATATGCGCTGACTGCTAGTCAGCCAAATAAGCTGAGTACGAAAAGTAGAATGAGAATGTAGCTCATATTTACGAAGACTATAAATGTATCTGATGCAGTTGTTAAGCAGACGATCCAATGTGTTAAGATGCTGTTGGAATAAGTCTGAGCAACACACATCGACAGTCTATTATCGCCAGAAGGAGAGATTGAACAAGCAAAAATTTTGTAGCGATTGGAAGAAAGGAAATAAGGAGATCGTAATGTTGCAGTAACTTTATCTCCTGGATCTGCTTGTTCGGTGAAAGATAGCTATCAATGTATTAACCGAGATTCTTAATATGTGGAGAGTATGGGATAGCATTGTTGTTGTACGAAATAAACGGCAAAGTGGAGATATCTAATTTGGATAAATATCCAGAGCTACAAAAGAGCTACTAAACTGATCGCTTGACATTTAGAAGGATTCACATTAATTCCAAACATAGTGGACCATTCAAAGATATAATGCAAATCTTCATTTAGTAATACTATTAAATTGTTAATATTGAAAGGTTGAATAAAACTATTTTTACGGATTTTATCGCGTTTAATTTACTTATTTTATATTCCCGACGTTTCGGTTGCTTTCCAGCAACCGTGGTCACGGGGGACTGGAACGGTTGCTGGAAAGCAACCGAAACGTCGGGAATATAAAATAAGTAAATTAAACGCGATAAAATCCGTAAAAATAGTTTTATTCAATGTGTAGTGTTCGCGTAAATATAAGAAATCATTAAATATTGAAAGGTTCCACCTGTGCATATAGTTGTAGATCATCGGCATACAGATGATAAGAGCACTTGAGGTTTAATGTTATCAGATTGATAAAAATTGAAAACAGAAGAGGTGAGAGAACACCGCCTTGAGGGACACCGGTTAATGGACCACTGCAATTGGAAACATTATGGCCAGAATGCACGAGCTGTTGGCGCCCTCGAAGGTATGATGAGAACCAATCGCGGTCTGATGATATTCAAGTGAGAGGTAGAGCTAGGCGTTAGAAAAATCTACTAAGATAAGAACTGTTAATTTGGAATTTTTCATGCCCTCTCCATCTTCAGTAACCTTGAAAAGGGCGGTTGTTGGGCCATGCTCAGGGCGAAATCCAGACTGATATGAAGAAAGAATCTTGTTTTTGAAAATAAAAGTAGAAATTAGTTTATGAGAAACGGCTTCTAAAACTTTAGATATAAATGGCGGGATAGAAATTGGTCTAAAATGAGAAAAGACTGCACTTGGTGGATTTTGGAAGAGAAATGACAAAGGCTTTACGCCAGTGTTGGGAAAGCACCATACTTCAACTAAAAGTTAATGATGTGAGTCAACACGGGCAAAACAGAATCAATTACGTATATAATCATTGTTCTACTCACATCATCACATCCAACAGCTTTCGATTTGATAGACGGATGTATCTTGCGTATCTCGTCTTCATTAACAGGAAAAAAACTGAAAGAGTCATGAAAATAAGGAGGCATGGAAGATATGGATGAAATAACATTTGCTCTAGAACTAATAGAAATAGTTTGAGCAGACAAAAAATGACTATTGTAATTGGTAAGCGACAAAGAGCCGCTATTAGGGGAAAGATGTGTTTCCCATCTCCAAGAGTATTAGTTTAAGAGTCAGTGAGCGGCAGACTTACGGTATTTCAATAAGCTTCGGGTTTCTCTGCGTGATAAACTTATAAATAAGGATATCCGCAGTAGAATCAGAGTGACTAATATAGCCCAAGGATGAGTGGCAATGGAACGGCCATATAGCTCGAAGAATCGACAACCGATGGAGGAAAAAAAGGTTCTCGAGAGCCTTGTACCGGTAGGCGAAGTGTAAGGCGACCCCTACTAGATGGAGTAACGAACTGGTAAGACAAGCGGGAAGTCGATGGATGCAGGTGGCTCAGGACCGTGCTTTATGGCATTCCTTGGGGGAGACCTATGTTCAGCAGTGGACTTGTGAAGGGCTGTAATAATAATAATCATGATGATGATGATGATGATGACTAATATTAAAGAACAGTTGAAAACAAGTATTTTAATATATGTAATAGAAATTTTAATTTAATCTAAAGACTGGATTAGACCGAGTGCTATAGTAAGCGCTTATGGACGCCACAGAAGTTCGTTGTCTGCCTGGGTGATAGAACTTCAATATACGTCTGCCATGCAAAATATATGAATATGTCAAATAATATTATCAACAACATATATAAATTATATAAAGTACTGTTGGTGCCACGACTTTGAGAAAGCGGCAGACTTATTACTTTCACGTTTTTTTCGGTAATTTTTTTACACCTAAAGCAACACAAAACATTTCATGTACCTCAGGTACTTCAGGATTAACTGAAAAATGAAAACGTGAAGCTTATTGAAATACCGTAAGTCTTCCGCTCACTGGCTCTTAGACCATATTAAGAAACTTCCATATATCAGCTGAAGATGAATAAAGCACTTGTTCATGGAAGTAACGGCGTTTAGCAGCTCTCACCATCTGATTACATCGATTTCTCGCAACTTTATATGTTTTCCACTTTTTGTCTGTGCGTTTCCTCTTAAAGTCAAGAAACGCTCTATCACGCTTTGCCATGGCCATTCTTACCCCTGCTGTTATCCATGTAACTGGAGGGCGCTTAAGTCTAACAACACACTTGTAAGCATGTTTTCAAGTCTTAGTATATTGTCGTTCAGGATATTAACTTTATCATCAACTGCAGACGCAGTAAACACAGAAGACCAGTCAATTTCATCAGCATCGCGCTTACGCTTTTCAACATCCAGTCTAGCAAAACTAAGAATAGAGACAGACACTGATGTAGGCTTGGGAGACTTTAATTTGTATGAAAGAAAGAGCAAATCATGACGTGAAAAACAAGAGGCAGGAAATTGGCCGTAGTTGGCTACATGCTCAACGGAAGAGACGGATATAATATGGTCGATCCATGTGTGTGTTACACACACATACCATTGGAACAAGAATGGGTTGGCTCAACCGGGGAAGGACCTCGCTTTCACAGAATAGCAGCTTAATGCTGCTGTGTTTCGTATGGTGAGTGTAGAGAACCGGAGATCTTTTACCGGAAATGAGGTGTTTCATCTTAGTCCTCAGGTGTGACAACGCATCTGCATTTTGATTCTTAACTGAGGATAGAAGTAGATGTCTATGGGCCACAGAAACCACTTACCAACAAGTGGACCGTGTGTTCGTTTGTCATCCTTATTAAAAAAAAAAGCAACTAACCATCTTCATGAGGAGCGTGCAGGTTTCGAGTGGGGTCATAGGCTCGAGGTCTGCGAGCGTGACACCTTCTACGTTGATGTCGTAGAGCAGCGTGGCGAGCGTGAGCAGGTGGAACAGAATGCGGTCGAGGCCGGGCACGGCGCCGCCCACCACGGCGATGGTGACGAGCGCCAGCGCGTGGCTGGCCAGCCCGCTGCGCTGCTCCACTTCGCGCGCGCGCCTCTCGTACCACGCCCAGTGCGGGCACGAGCACGGGCCCACGCACGAGCACTCTGTCACGCACGCACTCTCCGCCTCTGGGCTGGCGTCCTCCGACCAATTCGAGCTCCATATCGATCTGCGTACACCCAAATGTAAACCAACTACTATTGAATGGAACTAATTTTACGGATTCTATTGCTTTAAATTTACCTTTTTAAAATCCGACGTTTCCTATTATTTCGACAATACTTCACTATTTCTACGAATAACTGACATGTTATTCGTGGACTAGTAGGAAGCGTTTACATATTCGTCTGTATTCATTCAACGTAGACCTTTTAAACATGGATGACGTGCGTCTCGTTGCCACTATTTTGACTACTTGATATTTATAGACTTTCAAATATTTATTTGGGGCGTGTGGAGCGCCCCCCCCCCCGACCCTTCCACTATATGAAACGACGACGTACCAGGTCATCAGAAAGTTGATGGTTGCAGATGTGTTTTGTGCCAGTTTATGCCCAAATTTGGTCATTTTTGAACGCCATCCAATTGCGTTCGAGCTGGCGCGTCACCCGATGGTATGTAGGTGAAAAAAACGCCGCCAGGTGGGGCGGCCGTGTGCGGCTGGTAGTGGCTCGACGCGTGGGCGAAGAAGCAGTAGCTCGCTGGCCGCGATGCGGGGAACCCGCGTATCTCGGTTATCGCGACCGAAGTTCACGCGACCGTGTAGGGTCCAGATAGTTAGATTTATTGCGTGTTACTTCGCTACGTGAATATGTGAATTTTGCAATATTTAACTTGTTCGGGTGATGTGGAATTGTGCACGCGCGCGTCGAGTAGATATACGGTCTACGTACGTTTGCCAGAAATAGCGTTCAATACTTTATTATAAATTACGGGTGGCAACCCTACATGCGAATAATAACGAGTATGTACGAGGGCGGCACTGAAAATTTCGGGAATCAAGGAAGTGACACAACATTACTATTTAAAAATGTATTTATTGCTTTTCGAAGTATTTTCCGCGAAATTTGACACATTTTTCCATACGATGGAACCAATCATTGAAGCAACCAATCCATTCGGAAGTTGGGGTCTCCAAAATGGCCGTTTTGTAGGCGTCCACAGCTTCTTCAGGTGATGAAAATCTCTGTCCACGCAATTTATTCTTTATTTTAGGGAAAGTATAGAAATCATTAGGGCTTAGGTCGGGGCTGTACGGCGGATGGTCTAATAATTCTATGTTTTCTTGCTCTAAAAACTCCTTTGTTCTGTGTGCGGTGTGAGAACGCGCATTGTCGTGATGGAGGATGATGCGGCGGTTGCAGTTCTCTTTACGGAGTTCAGAAACGACTTGTGGCAAACAAATGCTAGCATACCATTCTGCATTAACCGTTCTTTGTCCCTCAAGAGGAATAGTCGTAATATGGCCGGTTTTGGAGACAAACGTGGCCACTATTTTTTTTGCAACACTCCGTGAACGATCAATTTTTGTTAGCTTTAACTCATTTTCGAACACCCAAACTCGTGACTGGTTTTTGTTTCAGGTTCGTACGCGTATATCCAGGATTCGTCACCTGATACGATGTTGTATACAGCATTTGAGGATCCTGCGTGGAATCTTTCGCGAATTCTGACGCACCAAGTAACGCGAGCCGCTTTTTGCTCTTCACAGAGCGAATGCGGTATCCATGGGGAAAACAACTTTTTTACATCTAATTGTTCATGCAAGATTATTTGTATTTGACTCATGCCAATGTCTAAAGTTGCCTGAATTTCGCGGTATGTCACATGTCGATCTTCCTCAATCAGCTTACGCACAGTATCAACATTTTCTTGATATTCATCTTCATCAACTTTCTTGACTGCAGTTTTTGGACGACCTTGACGGGGATCATCACTGAGCTTGACAAGTCCACGTTGAAATTCAGCAAACCAGCGATAAATTGTAGTTTTGGATGGGGCTTCATCACCAAATGCAGAAATCATCCGGTCAACACACTGTTTTTGTGTTAAACCACTTCGAAAGTCATAATAAATCATCGCTCTTGAATTTTCTCGAGTCAATTCCATTTTCTCAACGACTAAACAAGTTTGACAAAACCTTGTGACAAGACCGAGAATCTTTTTTAAATAAATAAATGGTATTCGATTTTTAAAACCAAGGACTTTTCAATTAAAAAGATTTTAATATGACAGGAACAGTGGAAACTTTCCATTCCCGATACTTTTAGTGCAGCCCATGTACAAAACGATATGAATACACACGCGCAGTCCTTTTATTCGTGCCATAAAACCAACTTCGAGTGGAGAACAGGCGTATTATACTCGGGCCGAGTAGCGAGAGCGTTTACATACGCTTACTCGTGCCTACCAGTCTGTGCTCAGCGAGCATGTAAACGTTGCATTAGTGTTTATACACTTCGTCTCTGGGCTAGCGTCCTCCGACCACTTCGAGCTCCATATCGACCAGAGTACATTCAAATGTATACCGATTACTACCGGCACGTTATAAATAAGAGCATCAACGATGCTACCAGGGCGGCGTCACTTAGGACTGAAGGCAAAAAGGCATTTCAGACGAGGAAGTTATTTTTTTACAAAAATGTAAGGATGTTTCTTTCTGAAATATTCATTACATTTAATCTTAATTAAATTAATATGAATAAAACAAACTGAATATATTCCTAAAAGTAGAAAAATGTTAAAGGAAAAGAAAAAAAAGTGCCAAATGTTAAAGAGCAAGCCACTGAGGTATTGTTTAGGGTATATACATATTCTATAAACCGATAAACTTTTATTTCTTTACTCAATTATAATGACTATGTGTAACAAATGACTTCGCCTCAGTCCCAATTCGCGACATGTGATGCACGGAAGATGCTTGCAGAACAGATACATAGCGAAAAATACGCAAATACACAAAAACCATAATTTGTCCGTTTTTTCACAAGCAACGTGTAGTAAAAACTGTAAATATAATTTGTACCTTGTTTTAATAATTTAGTAGCCATTGCCAATTGAGAAGCTGCTAATCGTGGCAACTACGGCAAATAACCCCCTATGAGGCAATATATGAGGGAGGCCTATGTTCATCAATGGAATTTCGATATATTCTAACAGTAACGTAAGTAAATAATTTTGGATAATTAAAACTATATTATGAAAAAATTTAAAACAAAACTGCTAAACTAGCTTTTTCTTATGAAATTATTTTATTTATGAAACAAAATAAAATAAGAATTATTGTAAGGAAACTATTCAAAAATATAATTACCAAATTCGAGCTTGGAAGACGGATTGACGATCGCAGCACTTTTTGCTGCTCTCCGTCGCTGGTTAATATATTTTATATCTGGCACATCATATCATACAAAACAATGGAGACTATGAAACCTTTCTAATATTTTCCAAAGTCGCGTCTTACGAAACCCACGGGAAGAAATTATAATGGGAGGAAATTGGATTCCCTTCGTCGGTACCACACGTCGAAAGGAAACTGATATCACAACACTTAATCCAATGATTAAAATTGTAAAAGATTATACAATAATATGGAGATCCTTACCTAAATATTGCCTTTCTGCACCAATCCTTTTCAACTTCTGACGGCTTTACCTTTATGGGGGATTTCTCGTCAAACCATTGAAATGGCTGTTTGGTTGGCAGCAGATGTTGATAATCTAATGGGTTGATTGTCTCTGGCAGGTTATCCAGGACTGCCAGTTTCATTTCAATAGTTTTGATGTGCTGCCAGAGGCAAGTCAGGGCCTCTATACGGCCTTCTTTGGCGATCTCTATCGCGCTGTGCACTATACTGTTGCTCCGAAGGCGGTCATACTCGTCTTTGATGTATGTTGACTTCTCCCATTTTAGTATTTCCTAGAATTATCACTTTACTATTGACTTTTTTATTTATCTATGGAAATGTTTGTTTGGACAACTTTAAAAATGGTTCAATTGACTAATGAAGTGCCAAATACCCTATTTCAACATCAACTTACTTCATACAACCTAAGCCTCTCCTTATAGAACAGCATGACGTGTCGACAACGCAGCAACTCACTGGTGTACGCATTCAAATCCTCTAAAGTTATATCATCTGGATCCTTCAACTCGTCTTCGCTTTTATCCTTATTTATTTCTGAAAATATTCCTTCAAAACTGTAACGATTTTTTTAATCGCAATTTACTTAACCAATATAGAAACTATTTTTAATTTTTTTTGTTTGGTTCAATCTCAACAGTTTGGATTGTTTAATTAAAATTCTTAATCAGAATAGCACGCAAGGTTTAAAGATCCAAAGCGGTTTGGGAAATATAACGTATCGTCAGACATATACCGTCAAGTATTCGTTCGTTGGTGAGCTCCAAACCGAACTGTAGCAGTTCCTTCGCAGCTGGCAATGTTTCTGGCAATCTGTCTACACATTGGTGCACTGCCCAAATCTTCTTCGATACTTTGCTCTGCAATGTAAAGATACAACCAACCGTTAAAAAAACAATATTGTGTTAAATCACACTCTAGCAGTGGCCTAGCTCGAAGGACCAACAGATTTTGAACGTGTAACTGCAAGAATGATGTTAATGTTAAGAGCCCTCTTACATTTCGGCGTTTCGCAAAATTAGGTAGTATTTTTTTTATATATAATATTCCACAACTATCAAACAACGCCATCTAGTCCCAAGCTAAGCAGAGCTTGTGTTATGGGTACTAGACAACTGATAAACATACTTATATATTTCTAAATACATAAATATTATAGATAAATTACACCCAGACACAGAACAAATGATCGTGCTCATCACACAAACATTTGTCCTGGGTGGGAATCGAACCCACGACCTCCGGCGTAGCAGTCAGGGTCACTAACCACTAGACCAACAGGCCAGTCAAAAAGTATACGCACCGAGCGGGCGGCGAGCTACGCGACCGATACTTTCTTTCATATCTATTCACTCGCTCGCACTATAATACTGTGAGTATGGCGATTAAACGATCTTGATCTTCCATAATACAAAGTTTTCTTAGGATGGACTTCAGTAGATGGAATATTTTTTGGTGTGTCATTTTAATGTTATCTTATTAATTTATTATTATATAATTATATAATTTATTATTTATTATTATATACCATTTTAATATATTATTCATTATTTAAAATCAAAATAAGTACACATATATATTTTAATTGTTACGCCGTAATCGAATGTTAATAATCGATTATGTCTACTACCGGTAGAATAGTGGTATAAATAAATAAACGGTTGCAACCTGTTTTAATAAATCTAACAACCAAATGTAACTAATATTTTTTTAATCGGTACTTACAGTCAATTACCATATTTTTTATTAGAAAAATATTTGCTGCCGCGGCATTGACCGAACTTTTCTCGAGTCGATGATTTCAAGCAGTATACACTTTTCATAAAAAGATTGTAACTTGGGTAACATATTGAAAATCTAAAATTGATCGCCTTTGTAAATTTTTAGTACTTTTACTGCATAATCTGGGCCAATACATATTATAACAAGTATTCAGACATTTTTATTTGCTAAATGAAGCTGGCGGCCTTGGATTTGGTAAAACCAGTCATGATGTTGATTTAATGTTACACTTGAATCACTGAATTTATAACCTTTAACTTTTTTTTAACGAAAGGCCGTGTCAAAATCTATTCCGAAAACTGAAATAGGACATTTAACTTCAATAAGACCGTCGCTGTATAAACCATTAGGTGAAGCCCTCAAATAACAATGATCTAGGTCAATGAATAGTCCACATTTTTCTATAATAATATTTTCTTGTTTGCTCAATTGTGCCAATGCTACAGACTCGTTGTCTCTGTCATATTTAATGGAAGAGACGTGATCTAAATTATAACTATATAAAATAGTTTTAAACCGATCGATCAAAAATTGCGGTCGTAGTTGACGATGCTACATAATTTATATACTACATAAGTTTAACTGTAAGTCAAAAATCGATGTGTTACCCAAGTTCTAAACACTAATTTATATAAATGAAAGACGGGAAGAGCGGAGACTCCTAACACATGTTTCTTAACTTAAAAGGAGTGTTCCAATAATGTATTTAATTTTAAGTATTACTGGTTTGAAAAGGGGAGATCTCCCGCCGGGCAAAGTGTTTTGCCCGGGGAACGACCAACGCTCCATATGTTATTTTCGGAGCTGTTCGCTTCAGAACTTTGATAGCGCGATTTAGGCTTCGGTGGGTTTCACTTGCGATGCGACGACTGCGTCACCACAGTCGAGAATACGGTATATTGAATAACACAAATTTTACGAATTTTATTGCGTTTATTTTAACTTATTTTGACCATAGACAAAGCACTTGTACAGAAAGGCATCTGTCCAGAACAGCATAACTGGTGAGATTATCCAGTGTACTTTGTATATTAAATATTACTTAGTTGTAATATATATGTAATGAACCTTTAGAAATTACAAAAAAATATATAGTTTAGATGTAGAGTGATGTTACCTTTCTCAAAGGTCTTTCACGTGGTAGAGCCAAGCTGCAGTATATTATGGATATATACTACATCACGAATAGGTCGGTGCGACTGGGGACGAACCACGCTCTCACAGAATACCAAAATAACGCTTCAGTGTCGTATTCTGAATGACGTGCATCGGAATTTTTTTGCTGGTAAAGAGGCTTTTCATCTTAATCCTCAGGATGTAAGAAATCATACGCATTTTTATTCTGAATAGAAGATAGATCTTGGAATCTATGGGCCACAACATCCACTTACTATCAGGTGGACTGTGTGCTCGTTCACTCTTAATTCTATAAAAAAAAGTTACAGTTATCCTACCAAAAACAAACTTACCAAATACTTCTGTATGGCTTCAGTGGAGACAGGGTTCTTTCTCCATTGCTGTTGATACACGAGGTCACTGTCTAACCCGAACGTCTCAGCCAGATTCAGCGCTTCCGAATAGTTCCCGCTCTCGATCTGTTGGTATTTGTTCATTCATTTATTCGTAACAGCCCATAAAAAGTCCACTGCTGAACATAGGCCTTGCCCCAAAAATTGATTCATATTTGCTGTACTTGCTATGTTTGGCCGCAGTTTTTTATTATTTCGAGTTCTTTTTTTTATCTTTTTAAAAAACGTTACCCCCATACTAGGATTTTCTCCTGTATCGTGGAGGCAGTTTACAAACATAAATTGCACAAGGACAAACATCCAGACCCGGAACAATTATTTGTAAGCCATACAAATACTTGTTCCGTGGGGAATTCGAACCCGCAGCCCCCAGCGCTGCAACTCATTGCTAAGCCACTGCGCCACGGAACCGCCATTATTGTTGTCGAGATGTATCAGGAAAACGATGCTGCGCGTGTCTTGTTTCAGTTTCCCCCTGTCGCATCTTACGACACCCACGGAACGATATGGGGTAGTGGATTCTCTTAGGCTAATCTATAGACCGTACTTTGACTTTGCTCAGACTTTACTTTCGAGCTAAGACAATTTCGGTATTTATAGAGCTAACTTCGAAGTCATGATGAGTACGCGCTTAGCAAAGCCTAAGTCAAGGAAATGGACGTTTCGTCTAATCCGAAACCACCGTATTTTTTAAATTGTCGTTTTTATGTTACTCTAATTATTTATAACAATAACTAGATAGTTTCAAGCCGTCTTCTAGTTTTAAATAGCATCAATCCATTTTCTATTAACATAATTTCAAACTTATTTAGAATTTCTTAAAACTTTAAATTTGGTTTTTTTTTTTTTGACTTTGCACTCTTCTCATCCGTTCTCGTTACGCCCGTTTTTTTACTTCATATAATAATAACTTATTTATGAAATGCAATTTGGACTGTTTTTGATATTTGAATATTAAATTTTTCAAATTTTATACAATAAAATCAAGAACATAATACGTGGGATAAAGCATCCATTAATATTTGGACTCTCTGGGCCTTATCATAAGCTTAGCTTAATCTTAGCACAATGCAACTATACATCTAAGCGTATATTCAGCAAAATTTTTCGTAAATAAAGTCTGAGCGAAGTCAAAGTACGGTCCATAGATCTCAGCCTTAGACCACCACTACACCTGCTGAGTAAGAATCGTCATAATACTTGGCATAATAAAACGTTGTTATATCCCTTTTTACAACGCAGTAAAATCTTTGTAAACATTTATTTAATTTACAGTATATTTCCTTCACATAACCTTAGCCAACTATTGCATTGTTCTTTTTCTATATTAATTTTAATTCAATATTAATAATCACTTAGATTCAGAGCCTCGGAATCTGTCCGATCTACCCGGACATAGATTCCGAGGCGTATTAAAGTTCGGAAATATAAAAAGTTAGGGGGGACACCGCCGACCATCCCGCGGTGTGAGTGCTCCATGCCGGGTGTGCGATTTACACAGCGCTCGGTTCGTAAAGCACTCTTGTACCCTGCACGTCAGCAAGTCGAGTGGGCCTGATGGAGTCCCTCCCATTGTGCTGAAGACGTGTGCTCCGGAGTTGGCACTGGTTTTAACGCGTCTTTTCCGGTACTCCTACTCCCAAGGCGTAGTCCCGAATTCATGGAAGATAGCTTTGGTCCACCCGATCCCTAAAAAAGGCGACCGCTCAGACCCGTCCAACTACAGGCCTATCGCCATATAACCTCCTTGTTCTCCAAAATAATGGAATCCATTATAAACTGCCAGCTCATGAGGTACCTTGAGGATCACAAGCTGATTAGTGACCGCCAGTACGGTTTTCGTGGGGGTCGATCAGCTGGTGATCTTCTGGTCTACCTGACTCATAGATGGGCGGAGGCAGTAGAGTCCAAGGGGGAGGTATTGGCCGTTAGTTTGGACATTGCGAAGGCCTTCGATCGGGTCTGGCACGAAGCGCTTCTTTCGAAGCTTCCTTGCTATGGGCTTCCCTAGAAATTGTGCAAATGGATCACCAGTTTCCTTGCTGATCGGAGCATCAAGGTCGTAGTAGACGGTGCATGCTCTGATTTCAAGTCTATCAACGCTGGTGTTCCACAAGGCTGCGTGCTATCACCAACGCTATTTCTCCTGCATATCAATGATATGTTGCAAACTAGTAACATTCATTGCTATGCAGACGACAGCACTGGTGATGCCTTATATACCGGCCGTGCCATTATTTCTCGGGAAAACGTCCTCGAGTACCGAGCCAAACTTGTGTCTGAAGTCGAGTCTTTGCTGAACAAAGTCTCGGATTGGGGGCGACTAAATCTAGTCCAGTTCAATCCCCAGAAGATACAAGTTTGCGCTTTTACCGCTAAAAAGAACCACTTTGTCGTATCTTCTCAGTTTCAAAGCACTCTCCTTGCTGCCTCAGTTAGCATCGGAATCCACGGCGTCGATATATCGAATAGTGTGCAGTTTCGTGATCACTTGGAAGAGAAAGCCAAACTGGCCTCTAAAAAGCTTGGCGTGCTCAGCAGAGCGAGATAGTATTTCATGCCGGCACATCGCTTGCAACTTTACAAAACGCAAATCGGGCCTCATATTGAATACTGTTCTCATCTCTGGGCCGGGGCACCCCAGTGCCAGCTCCTTCCACTTGACCGCATCGTCGTCGATGACCGAGTTCTTTCTGATCGGCTCGATACATTGGCACTGCGTAGAGATGTTGCATCTCTTTGCGTATTTAATCGCATTTACCACGGGGACTGCTCTGAGGAATTGTTCGGACTAATTCCAGCCGCTCAATTTCACCATCGCACATCGCGACAAAACATACAACACAAACAAATTGCGATACCATCCATACCACCTGGATGATTGGCGGTCCACCGCTGTGCGATTTAGAAGATGTTTTCTTTTTCGCAAGAAAAGAGCCTACTCCTTTTTAAAAGGCCGGCAACGCACCTGCTTCCCCTGATGTTGCGGTTGTTCATGGGCGGCGGTAGTCGCTTACCATCAGGTGAGCCGCATGCTCGTTTGCCCCCTCACCTATAAAAAAATTTGTGTGTGAACTTTTTCTAATAAACCTTTAGGGTTACTTAGTGTTTTCTTTAAGTCAAATGGAATCGGCCTTCTTACAGTTCGAAGAGAATTACAAAAATAAAATATAACATGAACTCATTCAAAGAAATGGCATATTTTATATAATATTGCAAGTTAACCGGTTCAGTGCGTATGGCACGCCAGGCGTGCCATCGATTACTTTTGTGTGTGGCATATGACACACGAGTCGTGTCTTTTTAAAAATCGTTATAACACGCTCAAATTGCGTTTTTGGAAAATTTATCCAGAACAAAATATTCATTATTTTGCAAGTAGTTCATGCCTGCAGCTTCGTTTCTAGATATTTTGAAAATTTGAAATTTTTAGGGGTTGACAACCTTTTTTAACTTGTATATGGTACTCTTTTTACTTTTTGGGTTTTAAATCATGTTGTAGAAAAATTGTCTAATAAGTAACAAATAAATTTCTGGAAAACAAGTCTCCTGTTAAAAAAAAACAATGCGTTTGTCTTATTATTTAATTTTGCTTAAAATGGTTGAACTGCCGTCTTATTACTATCATATAGCCGAACAGACCTACGAAGTACCATGTGCTCTTGTGATACGGTATAATTTATATTTTTGCTTGAAATAGTTTGAAACCGTTCATGCATAAAAAAGTTCGCTAATAAATAGTCTTTTGTCAATCCGCCGCCGTATAGCGCCGGCGTTTGTTTCCTTTTGAAAACACTTGTTTTGCTATTCTTACTAATTAGACGTTTTCAAGTCGACTTTACTTTTACATTTGTATAACATTAAATAATATTTAACATTTGTAAATATTAATGAATCATAAACCTTATTTTTTTCCAAATTAAGGTTTTTGATTGTTTGATATTTACAAATATTATTATTAGGTGAAAATTTAATTTCATAAAAACCAAGGTTTTCCAGGGTGATTTAGCTGTACCTACTTATATAAATGTTTTTTTTTATAAAACAAAAAATAGTACAAAATGTTTGTAATCTCTGCATAAAAAAGTCACTTACTCTCAATTTCAAAGAAAACACGTAGTAAAACACGTAGTTACCCATTAAAAACAAGTATCCTTCCGTTTGTAACTGATGTTTGATGTCAACTAAACTTTAAGGTCTAAACAAGTGAAAAAAGCATAAAAAAGAAAATTATTATTACACATGGCTGATGGCACAATAGGCACGACACGCCTGGCGCTTGACACGCCAGGCGTGTCGTGGAATATTTGTTCGCCGCCACAGCTAAAAGTTGTCGAAAATTGGTGCCGCAACGAATCGGTTAGTAAGGACTAGTACGCCTTACTGTTAGGCCCAGGCCTCCTCTCATTTTCTGTGAGGGTATTTAGGGCAATGAAATGCTGTCCACCGTGCTGTCCCAATATTGTGTTGTGTTGGCGGACTTTACATGTCTTCGAAATATATATTTTTTTATTAATTTCAGAGACACTAAAATTTCCTCAAGATGTTTTCCTTCACCACTTAAAATTGCCCCGGGTTGCATACGTACCGTTATTTACAGTGAGCACTTAATCGTCTGGGTTATAACGGCGAATAATAAATAAGTACTTGAACATAATTTAATTTCATTTTCATGAAGGGTTTTTTAAGGGAATGTAGTACCTATATTCAAAAGGGTTGTAAATATTTGAATAAAAATATTGAGAACTTTACTTGACTTGCATATGGATCTATTCATGAAATAAATAATAAAAGTATTTAGCCTTCATAAACTTAAGTTAAATTAAACATACCTTTCTCGAAAATAATTCTGTGGGGGTGGTGCTCTTGACTCCCAGTAGACGATATATGCGGGACACTACTGTTATCTTCTTAGGCTTCGGCTGAAACGTCTCCATGTCTGTGATGGCGTACAGGATTGTTTTGAATAATTCCTTTGTCAATTCTAGCATGGAGTCGTCCGTGTCCGCCTCCACTTTTACAACTTCCATCTATTTGGAAAACAAATATTTGAAGTATTTAACTATGCTTTAACTTAAAATAGAAAATTGTTTGTTTTTAATAATTAGTATCTTTACAAGTAACGTGGCATAATATAGCCCATATTATGGTTAAAGCACGAATGGAGAAGGATCACGCTCTCACAGAATACCAGTGTAAAATAGCAGCTTGCACTGCTGTGTTTCGTATGGTGAGTGTAGAGAACCGGAGACCCTTTTTACTAGAAACGACAATGATCAATTTGCTATGACAAATACCTTAGTGTACTGATTAGTTGTGTTTTCGTACACTAAATATTTTAGTTGTTGACTGTAAAAAGAAAGACCGTGATCGTATAAAAAGTATTGAAAGTATTAATTAATAATTATAAGTGTTTTTTTCCCTTAACGGTAATGGAAAAATGCGTAATCGTAATTAGTGTAAAGAGGAACGGTATTTAAAATGTAGAAGACAATACTCTGATCTAGTTTAGAGAAAAGATTGAAATAGAGACGAATCTTAGTCTAATAGATGTAAATGTCTATGGGCCCCAGCATCCACTTACCATTAGGTGGACTGTATGCTCGTTTGTAAACCTGATTCTATAAAAATAAGAGTAACTCTATAATACACAATATAATTTACACAATAAACTTTAAATTTTACACATTATGCCACATTTGGCGTGTGGATTTACTCAAACCTTGGAGCGTCACTAATCAGGGTATGTAAGGTAACCAACAAAGGAATATAGACAGAACGCTGCTGACACCAAAACTATCTGAACTTCTTGACACACGCAAACATCTTTCTTCTTTCTTTTATTAACGTCCCATTAAAGCCGTACACGTAAGCACCTAAAACCACATATGCAAATGATTGTAGATGCAAGTAGTGCGCGAGTGCGTGTTACAAATAGTTGAGCATAATTTTGATTTGTTTTCAACATCACTTGAAATGTAGGCACCGCTCTGTCAATTTCTTTTTTTAGTATGAGGTTATAATATACAGTAACTCACTACAATATACTGAAGTAATGAGGGCTAATAATTTTCTGCTCACCAGATGTCGCTAGTTCACACTGAGGTAAAGTTTTTTTACACAATGTCATTTAATTGGAAACTTAGTTTTTAAAAACAGTTTATCAGTTTCTAGAGTATTATATTAATACACAAAACAATGTCTCAGTGGTGTACTCTTTAATTTTTTATACATTTTTAACTTTTTTAATTATTCTACTTTTATGAATATCTGTGGTTTTGTTTATTTATTTTTAATCTTATTAATGTAAAATATAGCATATATAGCAATATACATTTTTCGAACAATTTAACTTTCCCACTATGAAATCTGTCAAATATTATACCTCACTTTTAAGTGGCGCCGCCCTGGTGGCAGAAAAAGTCGTGGGCGCGCACAAGAAATGTTGTGCATTGTCCTTTTTGAACCCACACGACTAAGCATGTAATAATTTGAAATTATTACTACTTGTCGGATACAGCTTTATATTTACGATTTTTCTTGTACAACATTTACTGGAGGAGTACATAGGCTGCACTAAAAGTATCGGGAATGGAATATTTCCACTGTTCCTGTCATATTAAAATCTTTTTAATTGAAAACTCCTTAGTTTTAAAAATCGAATAACATTTATTTATTTAAAAAAAGATTCTCGGTCTTGTCACAAGGTTTTGTCAAACTTGTTTAGTCGTTGAGAAAATGAAATTGACTCGAGAAAATTCAAGAGCGATGATTTATTATGACTTTCGAAGTGGTTTAACACAAAAACAGTGTGTTGACCGGATGATTTCTGCATTTGGTGATGAAGCCCCATCCAAAACCACAATTTATCGCTGGTTTACTGAATTTCAACGTGGACGTGTCAAGCTCAGTGATGATCCCCGTCAAGGTCGTCCAAAAACTGCAGTCACCCAAGAAAACGTTGATGCTGTGCGTAAGCTGATTGAGGAAGATCGACATGTGACATACCACGAAATTCAGGCAACTTTAGACATTGGCATGAGTCTAATACAAATAATCTTGCATGAACAATTAGATGTAAAAAAGTTGTTTTCCCGATGGATACCGCATTCGCTCTGTGAAGAGCAAAAAGCGGCTCGCGTTACTTGGTGCGTCAGAACTCTCGAAAGATTCCACGCAGGATCCTCAAATGCTGTATACAACATCGTATCAGGTGACGAATCCTGAATATACGCGTACGAACCCGAAACAAAAAACCAGTAACGAGTTTGGGTGATCGAAAATGAGTTGAAGCCAACAAAAATTGTTCGTTCACGGAGTGTTGCAAAAAAAATGGTGGCCACGTTTGTCTCCAAAACCGGCCATGTTACGACTATTCCTCTTGAGGGACAAAGAACGGTTAATGCAGAACGGTATGCTAGCATTTGTTTGCCACAGGTCGTTTCTGAACTCCGTAAAGAGAACTGCAACCGCCGCATCATCCTCCATCACGACAATGCGAGTTCTCACACCGCACACAGAACAAAAGAGTTTTTAGAGCAAGAAAACATAGAATTATTAGACCATCCGCCGTACAGGCCCGACCTAAGCCCTAATGATTTCTATACTTTCCCTAAAATAAAGAATAAATTGCGTGGACAGAGATTTTCATCACCTGAAGAAGCTGTGGACGCCTACAAAACGGCCATTTTGGAGACCCCAACTTCCGAATGGAATGGTTGCTTCAATGATTGGTTCCATCGTATGGAAAAATGTGTCAAATTTCGCGGAGAATACTTCGAAAAGCAATAAATACATTTTTAAATAGTAATGTTGTGTCACTTCCTTGATTCCCGAAATTTTCAGTGCCGCCCCCGTAGGACTAGTGTATGTAATGCCGCGATCATACGGCACCAACAAACAAGCTAACAGTCAACCTGATGGTAAGTGGCTAATATGGCTTACGGCCACGTGCAACTAGCTTGAAATAAAAAAAAAAGTCACAGATGCGTTATCACCACTGCGGACTAAGATGAAACACCTGCATCCTGTAATTAAACTGGCTTTATTCGTTCTTCAAACTGGAATACAGGGCAGTGAACTGCTGCTTAGCAGTAGAAATACATAAAGCCAAAATAGTGATAGGATGATAGTTTCTAAATTACTTACGCTTTCATCACTTCGTGATTTCTTAGCTGGTAATACGTTCGACTCGCACTCTAAAGACATAAATGCGCCATGGTAAGCGCGTGTAACCTGAAAGTAAACAAACATTGCAAGTTAAATAAAAGCTTTCAAAAAAGTTATGTTACAGCCTATATAGTGTACAGCTCCCTCCGCTAGGCACAGGCCTCCTCTCATATCTGACATGTTTTTATGGCTTGTCTTTACGTGGTAGAGCCATGCTACAGCTATATTAGTAGTATAGTTGTAGCACGAATGGGTCAGCTCGACCGGGGAAGGACCACGCTCTCACAGAAAACCAGCGTAAAATAGCAGCTTAACCAGCAGCGTTAAGCTGCTATTTGTTTCGTATGGTGAGTGTAGAGAACCGGAGACCCTTTTTCTGGAAAAGAGGCATTCCATCTTAGTCCTCACGGGTGGCAACGCATCTGCATCTTTAGTCTTCATTGAGGATAGATGTAGATGTCTATGGGTCACAGTAACCACTTACCATCAGGTGGACTGTGTGCTTGTTTGTCACCCTATCCTATAAAAAAAAGGGCAAGGAGTTGTTAGTTACGCTACCCCAATGCGTGTTAGCGGACTACATATGTCTTAGATTTTTTTAATAGAATAAGGGTGACAAGCGAGCACACAGTCCACCAGATGGTAAGTGGTTGCTGTGCAGACATCTCCATCTATCCTCGTTTGCGAATCAAAATGCAAATGCGTTGTCAGCCGTGGGGACTGAGATGGAATACCTCTTTTCCAGTAAAAAGGGTATCCGGTTCTCTACACTCATCATACGGAACACAGCAGTATTAAGCTGTTATTTTACGCTGGTCTTCTGTGAACCTTACGTAGGTTACGGAACGCAGTTACGGTAACTCGGCTCTCGCCGTGTAACCTAGAGTCAAGCAATTTTTATTTTTATTGATGTAAAATATCAAACAAATTTCACACACTGCAGGTCACAACAACAAGAATCTTTAATATTATCACTTCATGGTTTCCTCTGAGCATAAAGCTTTGTATCCTATTTCACGATACATTAATTTAAAAAAAAAACATAATCCAAGAAATATTTTTGGCGCCAAATTAAAACAATATACCGTTTCAAACAGAATAATATACGAGTAGATAGTTTTGAATGTAAGTTGCCTACATCATTAAAACTCTTCAATAAGTTATCTCGTCAGAGTTTATACAGATATATCGGCAGGACTTCACCATGGTAACACTTTTAGGTATTTTTGCAAACTCGTAATGTAAATTGTAAATTTTCCGTTATCAGAAACGACCTTAAATTACTAAATTTAGTGAAAGCGCCAACAGTTGTTTTTGACGCCGGACACTGTATCTTAACAAGTGTAATTAATCAAAACTTAAATGGAATACAAACCTGGGGAGTTCCCTGAAAGAATTCGGGTTTCTTTCCAAGAATATTAACCATATCTTCAGTGTCACAGACGCTCACAGCACCGCTGAACCGAGACAAAATGATTTCCTGTGAACATTATTCAACACCTTTATATATCCGAAAATAAAATATGCAATATGTTAGAGCAATTAAAGTCAAAGTGAAATATTTTTATTCAAAATTGGCTTTTACAAAGCACTTTTTGAAAGTCAAAAAATACGCCATCGCTTCAACAAGTTACTGGGGGGAAACTCACAAAGGACAATGGCAGAAAAATAGTTGACAAAAATTATCGCGTCTAGAAATAAGTTATAATATAATAAAATGAGTTTTATTATTTTTCTATGATTTTTCAAACAAAAATGTATTTTAATTAAAGCCACAGAAAAAAAACAAACATTTTTGGGAATATCAAATGACTTAAATCATTTTACTCTATTGTTGCCATTTAGTATATTCATACTATTTTCGTATACATTTTGTAAGACTACCAACACAACACACAAAATATTTTTATATTAAGATATTATTAGTAATAACTATACTATCAGTAATAATAAATATAAAATTGATATGGTTGAGAATAAGTCTCTTACAAAGAACTTCCTACAATGATACATTATCTTAATCATAGTATTATGTAACAATTTCATTTAATGTTATGGCAACACTAGCTAAAACAAAATGTCACTGTTTTTTTTTACTGGCTTTATGGCTCTGGGTTCTAGCCATTCTGAGAATGGCACTATGACAAAAAGGCCCTGGAGCTATGCCAGAAATATACATTTATAGTATGCAAATATATAATAGAGATACAATAATCTAAAAAGTCTCAATTATGTACTATGTATTAAGCTAACAACAAACAATCACAGAAAGCATGACTTTTTCCAAGTGACATAAGACATAACCTAAAAAGTTCAAATCTAAATATCTTTTTTTGACGCCTTCTCAGGACAAAATTCTTTGACAGAGTTATTAAGGGACTGACGCTTAACATTTTAAGATATTTTTGATATATAGACGCTACCATTCCTTCTCAACTAATTTTATGTATGAAAGTCTGCCATTGTTCTTTATTATTTTTCTCCCAACATTTATAGTTCAACCTTATGAAAAATACGCAAAGTAAAAAAGGGTTGAGAAAACTCATTGTGTGTACGCATTCTCATATTTTTAATAGTCATCTAATTAATAATATCCTTTCTTAGTAATAATGCTTTTTACATGTGCTCTGAATTTATGAAAAAACAAATCAGTATCAAATTGATAAACGCATTAGGAACGCATGGACAATATTAGTCTGAATTTGAAAGAGATTATGAAAAACAGGGAAATAAGTATGACCAACATGCGGTAACTGCCAAAATGCTATGGAAAGGAGTATGTTGGGGAAAAGATTGTCAGAAAAAATTATAACTGCAACCATAAAGAAACACACCGGAACAAAGGATATTACAGTAACCATAAGAAAACTGAAATGGACATGGCATACAATCAGGGGCAAGGAAAAATTTAAAAAAACGGTAATGTTCTGGTTCAAAAGAAACAAGGAAAGGAAACGAGGCAGGCCGTCCTTAAGAGGGGTCAATGAAATAAAGGCGGTTGCAGGTAGCATATGGGCAAGAGTGGATGGGTGACAGAGAAAAATGGTCATAGTTGGAGGAGGCCTTTGTCGAAAGAGGCACACAAACAGGGATATCGCGGCAATATTTGTTTTGAAGTAAATATGGAAGAATATATCAATCAATCAATAAAATAAAAGCCTTTATTCAGACAATACTTGTATGAGTAAAGGCTTTTATTTACAAGCTGATACCCGCGACTTCGTCCACGTTGCTTGATATATTAAGAAAGTTTTCGTATGCACGAAAAAAATCGCAAGCAAAAATATACTTTGCATACAAATTTTCTTTGTAAACAATGTTATTCGTTGTATATAATGTTCACTGAACACGTAGTGCTTATAGAATCATTGTTTCTTAAAACTTTAATAACTTTATATTAAATGAAGATATCGCAATTTTTTTTTAGATAAGGGCCAAGTGTCTATGAAATAAAACTTGGAAAACCTAATTGAAATCTATCCAGTAGTTATTCCGTGATGCAAACGTCTATCATTTTATTTATGTAGATTATTATTAAATCAGTAATATTACAGGGAATCTTGTTACAAATAGTTATTCATCCACCGAAATATGAGCCGCTAGTTTTATTGAGTATGTACTTTCTGTACTTTGGAACAGCAAGTTTAGATTTATTGCGCGTGTTAAAATTATGGGCAGATATAGGTAAATAATATCATTCAAAATTAATAAATTTCAAATGCTAGCCGAACTAATAATACAACAAAAATAATACTTTGGTAAAAAAAAAACCATTGGAGTTACAGCAGAATATACTGAACATTAGTAAATATAAATTATAAATATATAATCTTACTTCATCACTCCACCAATTGACATCGGCCGGGTAGAACAGGGAGACATCCTTATGTGTCTGCTTGTCTGGTTTAACGAGTGGATTCCTCAGGTCGTGGCCAGGCTGGCTATTAAGCGGCCAACGCTTCAGCAGCTTCAGCAATGGCAATCTCCATACTGACACGTCTCCATTGCAATGAAGGCAAACCAGTTTCGTGCTGTCACTAGACAGCTCCATGCGGACTATGAAGTTCTGGTACGTGAAAATAGAATTCTTTAATGACGATATAAGTTTTTATCTTATTGATAATATATAAAATTATCAAAATCGTATAAATAACTTGACTAATAAACATAAACAGCCTTTAAATTGTAAAATGAAGATTATACTGAAGTGCTTGGAAGAAAAATATAATTCGGAAATTGTAGGACTATAAAATGAAATTTGCACACTCTGTGCAGTTTGGTCCAACTTGAGAGATAGGATAGTTTTTATCCTGATAAGTGACCCTCAATATTTTTATTGCGAACTTAAGGATTTTTATAGGACAAATGGCCGTCGGAAAGGGCAGAACAACGTCTGCCTGGCCAGCTAGTGTTTTTTTTATAGAAGAGTGGGCAAACGAGCATGCGGCTCACCTGATGGTAAGTGACTACCGCCACCCATGAACAACCGCAACACCAGGGGAATTGCAGATGCGTTGCTGGCCTTTTAGAAAGGTGTAAGCTCTTTTCTTGAAGGTTCCTAAGTCCTATCGGTCCGGAAAATTCGCTGGTGGTAATTGATTCCACAAGGAAGTTGTGCGAGGGATAAAACTTCTTCTAAATCGCACAGTGGTGGACCGCTAATCATCCAGATGGTATGGATGGTAACGCGAGTTTTGTCGCGATGTGCGATGGTGAAATTGAGCGGCTGGAATTAGTCCGAACAATTCCTCAGAGCACTCCCCGTGATAGATGCGATAAAATACGCAAAGAGATGCAACATCTCTACGCAGTGCCAGTGTATCGAGCCGATCAGAAAGAACTCGGTCATCGACGATTCGAACCGCTCTGCGCTGGATGCGGTCAAGTGAAAGGAGCTGGCACTGAGGCGCCCCGGCCCAGAGATGAGAACAGTATTCCATGTGGGGCCGAACTTGCGCTTTGTAAAGTTGCAAGCGATGTGCCGGCATGAAATACTGACTCGCTCTGCTGAGCACGCCAAGCTTTTTAGAGGCCAATTTGGCCTTCCCTTCCAAGTGACCACGAAACTGCACACTATTCGATATGTCGACGCCAAGGATTCCGATACTAGCTGAGGCAGCAAGGGGAGTGCCTTGAAACTGAGGAGATACGACAAAGGGGTTCTTTTTAGCGGTAAACGCGCAAACTTGTGTCTTCTGGGGATTGAACTGGACTAGATTTAGTCGGCCCAATCCGAGACTTTGTTAAGCAAAGACTCGACTTCAGACAAAAGTTTATCCCGGTACTCAGCGACGTTTTCCCGAGAAATATTGGCACGGCCGGTATATAAGGCATCACCAGTGCTGTCGTCTGCATAGCAATGAATGCTACTAGTTAGCAACATATCATTGATATGCAGGAGAAACAGCGTTAGTGATAGCACGCAGCCTTGTGGAACAACGGCGTTGATAGGCTTGAAATCAGAGCATGCACCGTCTACTACGATCTTGATGCTCCGATCAGCAAGGAAACTGGTGATCCATTTGCACAATTTTTCGGGAAGCCCATAGGAAGGAAGCTTCGAAAGAAGCGCTTTGTGCCAGACCCGATCGAAGGCCTTCGCTATGTCCAAACTAACGGCCAATGCCTCCCCGTTGGACTCTACTGCCTCCGCCCATCTATGAGTCAGATAGACTAGAAGATGACCAGCTGATCGACCTCGACGAAAACCGTACTGGCGGTCACTAATCAGCTGGTGATCCTCAAAGTACCTCATGAGCTGGCAGTTTATAATGGATTCCATTATTTTGGAGAACAATATGTAACGTCGCCTTTTTTAGGGATCGGGTGGACCAAAGCTGTCTTCCATGAATTCGGGACTACGCCTTGGGAGTAGGAGTATCGGAAAAGACGCGTTAAAACCGGTGCCAACTCCGGAGCACACGTCTTCAGCACAATGGGAGGGACTCCATCAGGCCCACTCGACTTGCTGACGTCCAGGGAGAAGAGTGCTTTGCGAACCGAGCGCTGTGTAAACCGCACATCCGGCATGGAGCGCTCACATCGCGGGATGGTCGGCGGTGTGTTCCCCCCGTCACCTAGAGTCGAGTTGGACGCAAAAAGAGAGCTCAACAGATCGGCTTTCTCCTTTGCGGCATGGGCCAGTGAGTCGTCCTCCCTGTGCAGAGATGGAAGAGATGGCTGACAGAAGTTCCCTTGGACAGCCTTGGCGAGAGACCAGAATGCACGGGTTCCTGAAGGAAGGCGAACTAGTCTCTCGCCAATTCTGCCGATGTGCTCAGACCATGCCTTGGCAATGACGCTTTTGAAGGACCTGGAGGCGGAATTATACTTATTTTTAAGTGCGCTGGTGTTTACATCCCGAGACGTTGATGTGTCAGCCCAGGCCCGGTAGCACTCCTGCTTATAGCGTGATGCTATTTTACAGGAGCGACCAAACCATGGGCCTCCGATGGGCACCACAAACGATGGAATAAAAAGTTCCATACCCAGAAGTACCACATCAGCAACAGAATCGGCAACAACGCTGGGTTCTTCCGGCGAGAAACAAACCCGCCCCCAAGGGTACGATGCAAAAAAAGACAGCATCCCGTCCCAATCAGCTGACCTATAGTGCCAAACACGGCGGCAAGCTGCAGATCGCAACTGCGATTGGAGCGTTAGTGGCACCGTACTCCGGATCAGACAATGGTCCGAAGAGCCCAGAGGGGCATCGACGGAGACCTCATATCTGTCCGGATGAGAGGTCAGCAGAAGGTCCAACAGGGAAGGTACATGGTCTCCGACATCTGGGATCCGCGTAGGCGAAGTAACCAGTTGTGTTAGACCATATGCCAAAGCAAAGTCATAGACAGATCTACCCGCATGCTCGGTTAAACGAGAACCAAGCCATTCAGCGTGGTGGGCGTTAAAATCACCGAGTATCACGATCTCTGCGGATGGGACCTGTTGTAGCACAGAGTCTGCAGCTATTTGGACGTGGTCGATGAGTCGGTCTGTGTCGGCATTACCGCTATGGGACCTATAGAGGCACCCGTAGACGCGGGGATGGTCGTCGCTGTCTACGCGCAGCCATAAGATGGTACAGGTCCGTACCTTCAAGACTGCCGAGGCGTCGAAAACAGATGTCCTCTCTGACGTATACGCAAACTCCAGCCCGGGGCACAAAGGAGTGTTCCAATTTGTACCCCGGGTAGGAGAGATATGAAGTATTAGCCGGAGAGGACACCTGAGTCTCGGTTAAAAAGAGCAAGGCCGGCTTCGCCGTCTCTAGATGGTAATGGACAGCGTTAAGGTTGGAATGAAGTCCCCTGATGCGTGACAGGGGTCGCCTTGGTTATATTGCTCCGCTTGCCCCGAGCAGCATTAGTCGCGAGCGGAATTTTGCCGCCCCCCCCCCCCCAGAATACGCGGGGCAGCTTGAGCACCCACGAATTAAATAAAAGACTACCCTGCTGGGGTAGTCTTTTATTTAATTCCACTACCATGTTGATGGGGGAGGGGGGGAGGGGAATTGGGCCTCCAGCCACCTGCACTCACCAAGCGCAACGCAGAGGTAAACCTCTACTTCACGCTGGTATTCTGTGAGGTCGTGGTACCACCCCGGTTCGAGCTGGCCCATCCGTGCGACAGCAAAAACAACCGCTTAGCTCTACCACTGTTATATGTTTGTAATATATTTTTAACTTTAAAATACAACATGATATATTTTATTTTCAGTCGTTTTCAGTAAAAAGGGTCTCCGGTTCTCTACATTCACCATACGAAACACGGCAGCATTAAGCTGCTATTTCACGCCGGTATTCTGTCAGAATGCTGGTCCTTCCCCGGTCAAGTCGACCCGTTCATGTATAAAACAGATAGCCGCAGCAAACTACGTAATACAACATGGCGAAATAAAACCACCTTCAGGGGTCCAACGTTAAATTTATAAAAATTCATGAAATGGGCTTGCACCAGCAAGAACACTGTGCCCAACAAATATTGGAGCTACCATTTCAAACATATTAAGCAGCATCTAAGGTGAGTGATGTTTGATACTACGATTTCCGCATCGTATGTTACATAACTGAAGCAAATCCATTCAACTCGGAATGCACCTATTACTAGCAGTAAAAATACTAATTATATCTACGCGGTAGAGCCAAGCTGCAACTTTATTATGGTTGCGGGGGCTGGGTCGAATGGGTCGGCTCGAAAGGGGTAGGACCACTTTCTCACAGAATACCAGCGTAAAATAGCAGCTTAATGGTGTTATGTTTCGTGTGGTGAGTGTAGAGAACCGGAGACCCTTTTTACTGGAGGCATTCCATCTTAGCCCTCACGAGTGACAACGCATCTGCATTTTGATTCTTAATGGAGGATAAATGTAGATGTCTATGGGCCTGAACAACCATTCACCATCAGGTAGACTATGTGCTCGTTTGTCACCCTTATACTAAAAAAAAAACTACAGGTATAGTATATGGCGAGAATAAATCTACTGTGAACGACAACGTACTAGCCGACCAAGTAGGCAGCTGTTATAATTTGACGTCACGCGAACTCGAAACCTAGCCCAAACATATTATTACTGTGAAAAGTGCTAACTACAAATGCTATTCCTGGACAGGAGCGCTGGTGGTCATACCACATTCCTCCCATTTATTTAACTGGGTTGATTGACTAGTATTATCAGAATCGCAATGCCTTTTATAAGGTCTATTATGGCTTACCAAGTGTTTGGATGTAACAAATGGTATATAAAGCTGGAACCTCTCATTGGCCAGCTGCGCTTCTAGTTGGTCGGACACCACCGACAGTTTATAAAACGGGTCGTCATTCAATATGCGCCATGCCGTGATTCCGGCACTGAGCGGCGATGATGGATCCTGAAACAATAAACCAGTAATTAATTTTAATCTAAATACATACAAGGTTATTTTTCAACGTGTAGCCAGATTTTAAACATAAGTTCAAATATATAAATAATGATATTATACTGTTTTGCAGTTTTTGAAAATACAAGTAAATAAGGCTTTTACTTTTATTTTCAATTATCCCAAATTGAATGTGATTTATAGGCAACAACGTTTTTGCCTACCGATAGACTCTTACGAATGTGCGCGTGCATACATTTTGAACGCATTTTGAATTTAAGAGATAAAAAGGACAGAATATTTGAGATTTTTTAAATTAATTTTTCTTTTTTATTCAATGTAGATTAAAAATAATATTTATTGAAAGTCTTTTGTTTAATTACTACTGGTTCGAAAAACCCTCTGAGAAACACTTGAATTCCGGCAATATACACAGCAATGTCGCTGACTACTTTCATTGTTTTTTTTTTATATAAGAAGTTTGTGCCAAACATTTATTTTGTTATATGAGAAAGATTTGTGTGACGATCAGATTTACGTAAGTTTTTTCTTAAAAAAAAAAGTCAAATAAAATTTCAAAATAATAAAAACTGCGGTTACCATACCGCCTACCATGCTTGGCAACTATGGCATATATGCCCTTTATGAGACGATCTATGTGAGAGGCCTATATTCAGCAGTGGAATTTTAAAATTTATGATGTTTTTGTTATAAAACCGAAGTGACAAATGAACTTACAGTCCACCTGATGGGTGAGTAAATAGACACCTGCAGCCAACGTCAAACAAAGAAACGAAATGAAACCAGGGCTGTCTCACTCCGCGCTTTAGGTATGGAAATATACCTACGCTGCGCGGCCGTCTACATAAGGCAATTCCGTGAGATTGTCACGCACGCGCTCGAGCTGAGCGCACCTTACGTTAACATAAAAATTATTTTTATCTAATAAGTTTTTAGGCACTTTTGATATTTATTTTTGAGTTTTTATTCAAGTATGGCCTCTTAAAAGCCCAAAAGGTACTGCATAGCCTACGGGTTCTTAAATAATAATAGGAATGTCGACTTTTCATTCTTTACTGTTCCTAAGGATACCGAAAGGTAATATATTATTATTTATAGGTAGATCTAGATAATTAGGTACTTAGTTACTGACGTCATAGTTACAGATTTATTATTTGATTAGTGACCCGACCACAGCTTTGCAGTTTTAGATTTTTTCGCGTATAATGCCTATGACCTTAATAATTCATTCAGTGTAAGTAGACCTCCCAGTACTAGTGACTGCTTACTAATGCAAAATCAGCATATACTGGTTAACTCTTGGTCGATAAAAGAAAGAGATTAAAAGTAGCAGCACTCTTCATTGCCACTCTTTCATTAATAATGAAGTCGTGTGCCGCATGTTTGTAAATAGCAAAAAATGTGAAACAGACAAGTGACGGCTCCGTGGCGCAGTGCCTTAGTAATGAGTTGCAGCGGTAAGGGCCGCAGGTTTAAATCCCGGACGGAATAAGTATTTGTATGGCTTACAAATAATTGTTCCGTGGATAGATGTTTGTCCTTCTGCAATTTATGTTTGTTAACTGCCTCCACGTTACAGGAGAAAATCCTAGTGTGGGGGGTAACATTTTCTTTTAAGAAAATAAAAAAAAGAAATACTAATACATTGCATAACACCTCGGTGTATTGTACTATATACCAACTAATATCAAAGGATTCAATTTGTTTTCTCAGAACACCTAACCCTACAATAGAAGCGGTCTTAACAAAGGCGCGTAATGGGCTAAGTGATACAGACACTCGCACGCGGACATAAGGTGCATTATGATTTAGTACGCGCGCCGCATTTTTTTTTCCGACGATATAAACGGTAAGCTAATTTCACGAAGGTCATTTCTGAGGCGTGCAAAATACTATGAACATTTGTGACGTTGTAACTAATTTTAAACTCGCAAGTTTGCTATCAGAGAGTGATCCTTCTATTCTTGTACTATTATTTATTCTGTGACGAAACAAACACTAAAACCCTTGAAAGCCTTACAGCCTGGAATTATACTGGCTATCTGTAAGACCAGAACATAATAGTGTAAGCACAGCTATTTGGCCAATACATTGTCTGAGACTCGGATGTACATCAGATCTTAAGACTGTATAGTGTTTATGCACAGCATTTTATACGTGGTAGAGCCATGCTACAACTATGTTAGTAGTATAGATGTAGCACGAATGGGTCGGCTCGACCGGGGAAGGACCACGCTCTCATAGAATACCAGCGTAAAATAGCAGCTTAACACTGCTGTGTTTCGTATGGTGTGAGTGAGTGTAGAGAACCGGAGATCCTTTTTAATGGAAAAGAGGCATTCGATCTGCATCTGAATTTTGATTTTTTTTATAGGATAAGGGTGACAAACGAGCACACAGTCCCCCTGATGGTAAGTGGTTGCTGCGGCCCATAGACATCTACATCTATCCTCTGTTACAAATCAAAATGTAGATGCGTTGTCACCCGTGAGGACTAAGATGGAATGCCTCATTTCCAGTAAAAAGGGCCTCCGGCCACCTGCACTCACCAAGCGAAACGCAGAGGTAAACCTCTACTTCACGCTGGTTTTCTGTGAGGTCGTGGTACTACCCTGGTTCGAGCCGGCCCATCCGTGCGACAGCAAAAGCTGCCGCGTGGCACTACCACTGTTAAAAACTCAAATTCGTTATTGAAGATGGATATAGATGTCTATGAGTCACAGCAACCACTTACCATCAGGTGAACTGTATGCTCGTTTGTCACCCTATCCTATGAAAAAATGCACCATGCACCATTTGAGATTTCAAACCAGACCCGCGGCTGTAATATCATGTATTCTGCCAACGAAGCCGTAGGATTATCAAATACCACGAAAGTAAAATACAGCCTATATACTACTACTATACTACATGAAACTAAAATGTATACTAAAATAATCTCGCATTGGAACGAGTACAGAATAAGTTTCTAAATATCGATATTTGTACATTAAGCAGTATGGAGTGTGCCTTTATTATCCTTAGATATTTCCACTTTATTTGTTTTGAGTATGGTCGAATATAATATATTTATAATAAATTAAGGGTACAACGAGATCAGTCTGTTGGTTGAAGATTGTTTTACTATTAGGTTAGTTATTATCTTGTTTTTCACTACAATGTATTAAAAAAAAATTTACTAAAGCAGGGAACAGAACAGTATGTCAGAGGATTATAGAGCAGGCCTCATACGCGAATATAGTTTTCATACCACATCTACTTTCACATAAGATATCCAAACATTATAAAATTGTGATTAACAATTTCAGTAGTACCGACGGGGATCGAACTTGATCGTTAGAATACTGTAAAATAAATACACAGCTCTGAGCTGAGCCACAGTTGCTTTCAAAAACACTTAAATTAAGGCCATCTTTTGTACTTTTACATACTTTATAGCTAACTAGCTGTTACCCAGCGCGTTGCCGCCGCAGAAAAAAAATTAATTTGGAAGAGTTATATTGTTTAATTAGGAATGATAATACATTAATTGAAATTGAATAATATATTATAACTTTCAAATAAATTTGTCAGTACGATACGCGCGCCACCTACTGTAAGTTAATTGTACTATGCCTATAACCTTTGTGCAAGTGCAAGCAATAAGTTGACAAAGTTTTAGCGCAATCTGATGAACGGTATGGCGACGCATAAAATACGAACCAACAAAAATATTTTTTTATATTATAGCCAGTAAATAGCAAATAAATAAATACGTAAATTAGACAAGTAGAAAATACCTTGATTCTTCGAGGCACTCCGGCCACGTACAAGGCGTCATGCGACGGACAGTAAGCCAGCGCGGCCACTCCACCCGGGAAGCGGAACGAGTGCCGCAACTTGTAGCCGTCCGTTTGGGACACCACGTAACCACGCAACCGCCCGTCGAACGTCACCACCAGTACCTCCCAGTTCCTGCACATTGAACGCGACGTAGCAGCTAGGTACTCTGAGCATGAGGCCACTCTTTCATCATCCTCATTAGCTCGTTATGAAAGCACATTAAAAAACAGGCGTTACTATGCGGAAATCTATTATAATTGAAATGAAAAACAAAGGTAATATGCATAGAAAACACCTATCACAATCACCCACATCTGTGGGTGATTGGTACATTTCAAACTAAATTATTTGCATCAAAATCTCTTTATAGGCAATCAAATCCCTTCACAGGGACTTTAGTGCTTGTGTCAGAATCTATAATGGTGTCAGAGAGGATTGCATAACTTCCCCGCCGCTGTTCAATCTGATTATGAATAGTTGATTGGAAGCTATGAAAAGTCGAAGAATGTGGGTTAAAAATGGGTGAATTAGCCGTGAAATACTTTTACGCCGACAATCAAGTTAAACTTGCGACGTTGGCGGGCGTATAATATATAAAAGGATAGGTGACAATTGACATTAATGAACATATCATTAAAAAAGGGAATAAAAGTGAATGCAATTAAAAAATGAATTGTTTTTATAGAATAAGGGTGACAAACGAGCACAGTCCGTCTGATAGTAAATGGACGATATGGTCTATAGACATACATCTTTGATTAAGAATCAAAATGTAGACGCATTGTCACCCCTGAGTACTAAGATAGAATGCCTCGAGGCATGTATAGCAATTCACAATGATGTATTAGCGCCCACCTTAACGAATGATAGTGAAAGTTGGTTGTGGCAGAAGTATGAGAGTAAAATTATTGCTGTAGGAATGCGGTCATTGAGAAGTACGTGAGCCACTCAGAAAATTTTGCGAAACTACTCATCTACGGCCTGCTCGAACGCTGCAGTTTAGTCTATGTGAAATTATGGTTAATTTTGATATCCAGTCACCATTAACAATCTCAACTTATACTGCATCTCAATTTTAACTATGAAGCTAGAGGAGAACAACATGCCCGCATAATATGTAGTATTACTTACATATTGCGTCAGATTTAAATAATGAATGTAATATAATATATTCATGAAAGCCTAAAGAGAGAGGCCCTTCTTACTTATCCGGTAAATTCAAGATTCTGCGAGCACATACTGCTTTTAAGACGTTTCTTTCGGAATTTCAACATGAGATAGTCATTGCAATTTTTGATACCGTTAACCTTAACTACCGTGTAGTGGCGCTTGGTGGGTGTCGTATGACGAGCTAGAGAAAAACAACCGAAGAGATGGGCTTCAAGCAAGAAGCATCTGCCTCATAACAACTAGAAAATAAAAAACTGCGGTTACCAACCCACCTCATAAGGCCTCATAAGAAACAATCTTTGGGGCGGCTCATGTTCAGCTGTAGAGTTTGACAGGCTGTAAATTGAATGAATGAACCTTAACAATATCTATAAAAATAAATAAAATTGAAATGTCTGCTTGTAATGTCAAAATAACAGCTTTTTACTAGATGCATATAAAAGTATAAACGGTACTTAAAACAAAAAGCAATTTTTTAAATTTTCGTCTGTCTGCCTGTTGTCTGTTTGTTCCGGCTAATCTCCGTAATGGCTGGACTAATTTTGAAGGGGACTACACTGGCAGATAGCTGATGTTATAAGTAACTTAGGCTACTTTTATTTTCTGCCGACTTACAAAAAGGAGACGGTACTCAATTCGACTGTATGTTTTTTTTTTTTAGTGTTACCTCATAACTTTTTACTGGGTGAACAGATTTCGATGATTCTTTTTTTATTAAAAGCTGATACTTCTCGTGTGGTCCCATATGAATTTGATCAAGATCAGACCAATATTTTTTGAGTTAAACTTAATAACTTATACTGAAGTCGGCTGTACAAAATTTTTAATTTTAAATTATAGAAAAAGAATTAGGGTTCCGCCCAAAAAGAATGAAAACCTATGAAATCCAATCGCAATAAATTCCATGCGGACGTAGTCGCACGGAATTCAGTACGCGGGAAACAGATAGTAAATACTAAAATTCAATTCACAATACGGTTAGAGGCACATAACTATTGAGCTTTCCTACGTTTATTAAAAATTCGGAATGTCATTCACGCGCGTGTGTAGGGAAAAGAACCACATTGCGACAAAACTACTTACTTAAAATGGAAACTAGACAATTAATAACTATAATATTTGTTAACTTTAACTTCTTATCAAAGTATTAAATAAAAAACATACATAAATTAATGCGTGGCGTCATTGTGTGCCTCATTTTTTAATGTAGCAACACCTTATATTTCAAACCGTAACGGCAGTACCTGCACATGTTGTACAATTTTTTATATGCTAGAAAATTGTATGACCACATCGGGTTACTTCAGTGTCACTAGTGGTTCAAGAACCACAGCTGAAAAAGTACTGGCTGCGAGCGAGATAAAGCACTGCACTACTTTAAATATACTTTGTTTAGTACTCAAATGCCATAATTTTTTTTCAACCACACCTTGCATGCATAGAAATAATTATCAACAAGTTGTTTGAAAAGGATATTATTGTAAAACAAAGTTATAAAATACACACTAAAATAAATAGTCATTACAATACTGATTTGTACTAAAACGTAAAATAAAATGGAAACTGTATTTTTCTGATAATGTTAAAGAGCATTCTGATAGCCGTGGTAGCTCAGATGGTTAGCGCTCGCTGTAAGCTTCACAGTACTCGAGCAACCCGGGTTCGATCCCCGCCGGCACCAATGAAATTGTTAATTGCAATTTTAAGTGCTGATTTACCACGTGCTCGGCGGTGAAGGAAAACATCGTGAGGAAACCTGCATGTCTGAGAAAAAAAAATATTTCGATGACATGTGAAGTTCGCCAACACGTATTGGGGCAGCGCGGTGGACATTTCCTTGCCCTAAAACCCTCTCAGAAATGAGAGGAGGCCTGTGCCCAGCAGTGGGACGTAAATAGGCTGCGACTTTACTTTACTTTTACTTTTATTCTGATAGCAATGAAATGTTTTCTTAAATTTTAATATGATCACACTGATCTTACCATTTAGTATCCTTAACTCTAAGGGGCATAAATATAATATCTGACACAGCATGAGTATTATCAGTGCACTCCAAACCCCCAGGCCTTGAGCAATCCTGAAACAGAATAAATTAATTAAATGAAGGGGCAGTTGACAGTTTATAGAAAGGTAAGCTTTTTCTCAAGACTATCTAATTTTTAACTATCCACTCACTGCTTAACTTAGGGAGTTATAATTTTATTAGGTGAATATGAATTTATATATATAGTATATGAATTCATATTATAACTGATATATTATTCGAAAAAAGAATTACTCAATAAATCATTATAACAATAATACTGTGGTGTCGGTACTATGATAAAACAATATAACAGGAATATTAAATGATATCATCACTCAACGTGGACTCCATATAAGGAGTAGAAATAACATCTATTTGGTTCAGTAATATCATATTATATTTATAGAAGAAGATACCATTCATGTGGCTCTACCTGGAACCACGTAACACAAACCCTGCCCCTACCTATGTACCTACGTCACAACCACTATATATAAGTCTCCTTCAACCCAATAAAGAGAGAATTATTAAACTGCATCACTGAGTTTAAATTACTGCTTGTCCAAACATTACATGGCGACCCTGCCAGGCGGTGCGCTGCTACAATGCACGCGCACCGCCGGGCCTACTATTTAAAAAGAAGAAAAAATATTATAAGAAAACTTAATTAAATAATGGACAGTTTTTAAGAGGATTGACAATTTAAAAAATATATATATATTATAACGGAATGGACGCAATACCGAATGTGACGAAAAATAAACAAATATGAATACAAGAAGAGGCCACAATAATTATTTTATAGAAGCCGACTGAAAATTTTAAATATATAATATATAGAACTATGAAGACAAGTAACAAAGAAGGAGGAAAACAAATAGTGGATTTTTTTTTATCATGACCAATGATCAAAATTTAAGATTCGGCAGATCTATTTAAAAAGAAAAGAAGCAGTTGTATTCATGCGAGCACCACCCAGAAGAATGCGAAAATTGAGCCAAAAAAGAACAAAGAAGAAATTAAGAGTTATGGTGTTCTATCTTGAGCTGCGTGACTGGGTGTACGCGTTTAAGGTGGCACAAGTCGCGGGCTCGAACTCGCTGGTGGGCGCGGCCAAAAAGCACGCTGTCTCACCTGGCATCGTGCCCGACAGAGATAGTATCAGTGATGAGCATATCGACACTAGTATTCACGCACGTCTTGTTCGTACGGCATTCAGAACCGTTTGAACAAAAACGAAGTTACACGAACACGATGCAACATCTATACTAATATAATAAAGCAGAAAATATAGATGTTTACTTCGTCTAAAAAAAGTCCGCGATACCATATCTCTATTTTTTATATATAAGCCCCAATTAGGCATTTTGATTTTGACAAAAAAAATGAAAATTTAATTATTAGGCATGGCATATTTATCCTTACGAACGAAAGTTACTTCATTATCAAGACAATTTTTTGAAGATAAAGTTCGTTCTTTATACCATGTTTATATAGTACATAGTTTAAGAGATAATGTAAAATTAAAATAATTCAATACTTGGCCTTGACGCGCAAACAACGCATAACCCCTAGCCCGGTGCGAACTGAGAAGCCAGTATTGAAAGCTTCTATGAGCGAGGTTAGGTTAGCCGTTAGTTCAATCATTATCTAATATCTACACAAATAAATAAAATTGAAGTGTCTGTTTGTAATGTCAAAATAACAGCTTTTTACTAATTGCATATGAAATTATATACGCTACTTATAACATTAACACAATTTTTAACATTTTTGTATGTCTGTCAGTCTGTTTGTTCCGGTTAATTTCCAAAACGGCTGGACCGATTTTGACGGGACTTTCACTAGTAGATAGCTCATGTTATAAGAAGTAACTTAGACTGCTTAAATTTTAGAAAAATTATTAGGTGTCCGTGCAACAAAGTTAACACCCTAAACTAAATGCGGACGAAGTCGCGGGGAACAGCTGGTAGCTAAAATAAATTCAAAATTAACTGAGTGCTTTTATCTATCTCCCAGGTGAGCGTAACAATGATTAGTTACATCTTTATTTCTGAACTCTTTCATTTCACGTTGCTATGGTATTTTGAAAGTTTAATTGATTAATAAGTATAAGAGGTTGATAGCAAATTTATCAAGAATCATTTTTTGCCTACACACTTTCATGTATCGTGTACGTTTTTCTTTAAAACTGGATAAAACCGCGCATAGTATGCCGAAAGATAAAATAAAAGTACTCCATTAATCATGACAATTTTTCCATACATTATTATCAAATAAAGTATTTGATTGCAATTATAAAATGCTTGAACTAGGTGTCATGTCATGCCACGCATCTCGGACACGTGATGACGCGGGTGAAACCGCGAAATTATTAGGCGCTGCTTTATCGCTTCATATTATACCTCTATATACCTAATATAGATTGCTTACTTTATTATGTTTAGTTTTTCCCGAGTGGTCATGCAGAGATCACTCAAGAGTTCGGCTTCGAACGTGTGTAACTGCAAAAATTATCCAACGGGAACGAAATACCTGAATAAACGGTATCATATATGTTATTTACAGCTCCGTGGCGCAGTTGCTTAGCAATGAATTGTTGCACTGGGAGCCACGGGTTCGAATCCCGCACGGAACAAGTATTTGTATGGCCTACAAATAGTTGTTCCGGGTCTGGATGTTTGTAAACTGCCTCCACGATACAGGAGAAAATCCTAGTGTGGGGGTAACGTTTTTTTAAAAAATAAAATTCCAGACTATAACCTATCTCTGAGCAAAATATCATCCAGGTCCCTTCAGCGGTTCTGGTGTGATTGAGTAACATACATCCATTCATCCGTCCATCCAAATATCCAAACTTTCGCATTTATAATATTTAGATAATAATTGTAATTAGTTCTGCCTACCTATAAATTGTTTTCAAAAATACTTACCTGTATTCTTACTTTTTTATATATACTCAATATCACTAAACGTAAACACAGGTTTTTATCAAGACAAGTGACCCATCAAGATTGTTTTCTTAGTACTGACGTACCTACCTAAAGTTTACAATTTTGTGGCCACGACGCGGTGACGTTTTGTGACATTTTGTTGTATTGTAGGTTGTAGATATCTAGGTAATAACAGTAGGTACCTATGAAAATCCCACATAATATACCTTGTTTGTCCGCCGCAAGAGTCGTCTAATAAATAATTAAACTGTTTTGTAATTCTTTATTTATTTATAACACTTGCATTGAGAGCCGTGGTAGCTCAGATGGTTAGCGCTCGCCGTAAGTATCACATTACGCGAGCAACCCGGGTTCGATCCCCGTCGGCACCAATGAAATTGTTGCAATTTTATATAGTAATCGTATATAGACTTTACTTTTTTTAGTTTTATAATTATATTATATTACAGACGAAAATTTTACAATATTGTCTGTCGTCCAAAACGCATCATCTCTTTCAATTATATCAATTTCCATGCTGTCTTTTGTCTTTGGCGTCCAAATTACAAAATAGCAAAACTTTTCGTTTCTCGAATAAGCGCGCGTCACCGCCCGTGCATGTGTGTGTAAGCGTCGTCCTCCCGCACCGCACCGGGGGAAACATTATTCAGTGAGATGCACGATAATTCATAGTAACATACGCGCGTAAAAAAATACGAAAAGGCCTTTGGAAGAAGGGGTTTTATGAAAAAACCACTGCATAAATCAATTACGAATAAAATTTATTGAATTCTTCGATAATTGAGCTGTGTCGGTACCGACTTTGTTTTGGAAATTTTACATTTCTTTTATTACTAATTTACGCCCAAAATTGTGTTAAAATTGGCAATAAAAACGAATCTTTGGTAGCCCGTAACATTTTAATAACATTTTATTTTACTATTATGTTTCCGTACAGACAAATTTAATAATGAGACAAAACGATATCATGTTTAACTTTGGATGTACACTGTCAAACAGCGTAGTAAAACCCCTCCGAAATTTGTATGGAAATATTGTCGACTAGTGTCACCTTAACGAAAAGTAACAACCAAGAACATGGGCGGTTATCAAACTAAAGAAGTGATCATGATTGTGCAAAATACAATGGGAAGCAATAAGGCAGGAACTGAACAATTGCAATTTCACCTGACTATGTTATATATTTCGTAAAATTATATTAGGTGTACTCTATTCTACATATTGGTGGTAAGTTATGAATATTTCTTTAGAACAGTTATATGAGAAATTAAAAGAAGTTAGAGCATATTTAATAAAAATTGCATCGAGTTAACCTGAAGGGAAAAATTTTAGATACCAAACTAAAAGGGGTTATAATAAATTTTAATAGTAAAGTAAAGGAAGATAAGATTAAATCTACTGATATTCCATTCAAAACTTTAAGAATTGAAATTTTTCATGTTGTTTTGCTATTATATTTTTTCTAAAGTTAGTACGTATTAAATATTCTGTGTTTAATATAATTTGATTAAGTTGAAAATATTTATTCAGACATTTAACGATTCAATTGCAATTTTATTAGTTTTATTACTTTGTCTAAATAAAAACTATACCGCAATAGTATAAATTAAGTTAGGTATACACTTATTTGGTACTTCTATTAAGGCACAAGACTACTTTACATGCACTTTCATTCAGTTATAGTTTTAATTATTTTATTACTGTGTCAAGTAAAAGATGAATGAAATAATGATATACCATAATAGATTACATTTTTTACGTACTTGATTTCTCCATAATTTATAATTAAATAACACTGAGACCTTAGATTCTATAAAATTATATAATCTAAGACTGTGACACATTTCGTCGTTTTATTTTTTTTGGAATCCAAATTTTAAAAAGGGTTATAGACAATTCGTTTTATTTTTAGTTCTAAAAGCCGACGGTACTGTCTTAAAGTTATATTATGATAAATTAAAATTATTTTTTTCTTTCAAGGTTTTAAATAAATTAATATTTTCTTATATGTAAACTCGATGGCCGTTACAGTGATTGTTTCAATTAATTTTTGTATGTGATACAATTAACATTTTTAGAACCAATGAATAAATGTAT